TGGAGACCTGGGTTAAGTTCTAACTCCTGGCTTTGGCCTGGCCCAAGCCTACCTGTTATGGACACTGGGAAGAACAAATGAGTGGATGGAAGATTTCTCTTCTGTTTGCTTCTCTTGTTTCTCTCTGCCTTTCAAATAAGATGAAAATAAATATTTTAAAGACAGCTAATTGAGTGTGTTAATAAGGATACAGAGAAATACCGGCCCTCATAAACTGCATATAGGAATGTAAAATAGTGTAACTGCTTTGAAAAATACTTTGGCAGTTTCTCAAAATGTTACACATACAGTAAACATATGATCTTGCAGTTCTTCACAACACATATAGTCAGCAAAAGCAAAAATATATGTTTGGATAAAAGTGCATTCAGAATGCCTCTAACAGGGCCCAGTGCAGTAGCTTAGTGGCTAAAGTCCTGGCCTTGTGCGCACCAGGATCCCATATGGACGCCAGTTCTAATCCCGGTGGCTCTGCTTCCCATCCAGCTCCCTGCTTGTGGCCTGGGAAAGCAGCCGAGGATGGCCCAATGCCTGGGGACCCTGCCACCCGCGTGGGAGACCCAGAAGAAGTTCCTGGCTCCTGGCTTTGGATCAGTGCAGCTCTGGCTGTTACACACTTCTTGGGGAGTGAATCAGTGTATGTAAGATCTTCCTCTCAATCTCTTCTCTTTTCTGTATATCTGGCTTTCCAACTTAAAAAAATAGCATGAAACTTAAAAAAAGAAGAATCCCTATATCAGTCATGTTTGTAATAGCAAAAAACATGGCACTAACCCAAATATGTGTCAAGTGATAAACGGATTCATCAAATGTGGAATGTATGCACAATGGAATATTCATTGGCAATAAGGAATGAAGTAATGATGCACCTTGAAAACATCACAGCAAGCAAAAGAAGGCAGTCACAAAGAACCACATTTGCATGATCTCGTTTATATGACATCCAGAAGAGGTAAATACAGAGACAAAATAAGTCAGTGTCACCCAGGGCTGGAGAATGCAACAGGGATAGCATGAGAAGTTTGTTGTTAATGGGCACAAGTTTTCCTTCAGGGGAAAGAAAAATATTCTAAATATCTCCTGGTTCAATCAGCTACTGGGGTCGTGGGTGATCTATGAGAAAGGAGTTTGGGGGGGGGCATGATAGGAAGGGCAATTCTGAGCTCAAGCTTAACAAAATCAACCCGATGTGCTCAGGTCTGTTTCCAGAAAATGGGAGATCACCATGAGTTTGGAAGTAACCCCAAGAGGTAGCTTTCCATTGCAAAGAAATAAAGGTAATATAATCCTGAAATCTGGGGAGCCGGGCATGATCTTATGCAAGCACCCAAGGCTATTATTATCACTCACAGAACATGGTATTTGACCATATTTACTTTCAACCATGGCTTAGAAATAATCAAATTTTCCACATTTTATACTAAATGCAATTCCTCATTACTATTTGGCTGCTCATATGGATCTTAAGTAAATCTGTGGAGTCTCTTTTCTCAGTACAATGGGACTAAATATGAGTAATGGTCATGTCTGATTTACCTAGTGTTGTGCTAAGCAGCTTAAAGTAAATATTGGAAATAGTTGTCAGCGAAGCAAGTTTGAACAGGTGTTTGCCTAAAGGAAGGTTTATGTCTCTGTGTTTAGGAATGATTGGATCAAAGCAAATTGTTGCTCTAGTCCACTATGTTGATCTCCTTATCATAAAGGTATTTCATTTTGATTGTCTGATTTCATATAGACTTCTTTTTTTGAAGAAATTTATTTATTTATTTACTTACTTACTTATTTAAAAGGTAGGATGATAGGAGAGAGAGAGAGACGGAGAGAGAAAGCTCTCCCATCCTCTGTTCACTCCGCAAATGGCCACAATGGCTAGAGTAAGTTGAGCCTCTAAGTAGAAACTAAGAATCCCATACAAGTGTCCCATGTGGGTGGCACCTAATGCTGCTTTCGCAGGTACATCAACAGGCAGCTGGATAGGAACTGGAGCAGCCAGGACAGGAACCAGCACTCCAATTTGGGGTGCAGTATCCACTGTGCCCCAGGATCAGCCCCATACATTTTCATTACAAAGGATCTAATTTTAGATTCATTTAAATGATGTAAACAACTAATTAATGAATGAGACAAGACAACTGTATGGGTGAATCCAACTTCACTCAGATAAAGTGAGGCCCTGGATGAAGATGACATTCCTGAATACAAGAATGAGAAGGTAACTTATCAGAGAAAGATCTGTTAGAGATAAACACCAAAATCCCTGCAAGTTAAGGGGAAAAAATGAAGAATCATTACGCTGCCTCAGTTCTGCTTTATGCAAGAATATAGATGTAAATATATCATTAGTTAATATTATAAACTGCTGGAATTGTAATTTTCAACCACAGATGTTCAAGTACATTATGGACTGCAAGTTAATCAGAAGTAGGGACTAGGTCCCAATCTCCCCGCCCACACAGAAGGACCAGATGCATTGGGCTTCCTTAATATGTCACATCAATGAGTCTGCTCACATTTTCACACCCACCTTCAATTTCAGTATCTCAGTATCCTCAAAGCCACTTCGCAAGCTAACATCATTTTTCAAAGCGTAATTTTATCACTTCCTGCTATTTGAAATATAGTTCTTTTATAATCTAGATATGGGGTCCAATGTGATAGTGTAGTGATTAAAGTCCTCACCTTGCACAGGCGGGATCCCATATGGGTGCCAGTTCTAATCCCGGCAGCCCTGCTTCCTTTTTTTTTTTTTAAGATTTATTTTATTTTTATTGAAAGGCGGATATACAGAGAGGAAGATCTTCCGTCCGATGATTCACTCCCCAAGTGAGCGCAATGGCCGATGCCCATATGGGCATATGGGATCCATATGGGATCCCGGTGCGTTCAAGGCCAGGACTTTAGCCGCTAGGCCACACAGCAGGGCCCAATTTCTCTCTCTTTTGTTTCATTCCCTCTTTCTCTCTCGATTTACTTTTCAGACATGTAAATGATTCTCAGTAAAAACAAAGCAGGTTGAGGGTTGCAAAAAATTGTTTAAATAAGGAAGTAGAAGCAAAAGGAGCAGCTGAAGAAAAAGGAGGTGAGGAAAAGGAGGAGAGGAGGAGGAGAGAAGAGGAAGCATGAAAAGGAATAAGGGAAGGGACGGGAAAGGAGAAGAAGGAAGAGGAGGAGGACGGGAAGAGGAAGAAGGACCGCCACCTCTACAGGACAAGGTTCTGCCATCTACATCTCCTTGCATTTGCTTCCAGAGGTCACCGCCTGCTGGCTCTCACTCGCTCTGCCCCATGCCAGCCTGATTTTCAATTTTAAACTCTAGGACTTCACAATGATCCCAGAGGTTCATAAGAGAGCTTTCCTCTCAGACCTGGCAGGTACTTGAGTAGCTGGAATTACTGATGCCCGACATGACAGCTACAAGGGCTATGATCTGAAGTTCAGTAAAACACATACAGAAAGAATACCTATGAAAAATGCTTAAGGTTTTCCACCATTAAAGGTGGAAATACATTCTGGAGATCCTAAAGAGAAATAAGACTTCAGATAAACTTTAAAAAAGTTTATTTAAAAAGTTGTTTATTTCTGTTTTTTTATCTTTTCTGATCCTGAACAATATTGAACCCATAGCTGGGCTTCTAAAAAAAAATTTTTTTTCTGAGCCCTCCACTGAATTTCTGCAGGATTCCATTTGTTAATCAAAATATGAGGAAATATGAGGGTTTATTTTATCGCATTTTAAAAAGCACCAGATAACAACACACAGGACAAACTGGAGGAGCAGGCTCCACCAGCTTATCCCGTTACGTGTTACTTGAGACCTGTACTCAGACAGCCTGCCTGGCTTGGAGGGGTAGCAGGATCGGCAACTTACCCAGGGGAGGAGCGAGGACCATGGCAGTTGGTACAAATCAAGGCTTGACATATGCCACTCACGTGACTTCAGAACCGGGTAGAAACGGGAAGCCCAGACAAGCAAGAACAGCAGAAAAGTCGCAGCGAAAGAAATTCAATAACGTGCTGAGTTGGGTATTCTTTTTTTTTTTCTTTAGAGGATAAAGGCAAGAATTGTAAAATAGGATGTGCAGGCACATCCACACCCACACCAGTTTTATCTGTAGAAGTCAAACAGATAGGCCTGTCGCTATTTTTAAGACAGCCATATTGGTTTGGGATGGAGTGGGAGAGTGGTATTTTCTTAAAACTAAGTTTCTTCTGCATGCAGTTTGCCTTCCCCATGGTTACTGCGTTCACCCAAATACAACGGTGCCTATCATTCCTGCGAGCCGTGATGGCCAGTCTTGCGCAGTTCCATGAAGGATCCCTGCAAACAAGCACACTGAGCACCTGTTGTGGTGGTGAGCCCCTCTAGCTGCCTGTGACAATCTGTGGTTTCCTAACGCAACTTTTGGGACCCCCCTCTTCTGCGTTTCCACTTGGGCAGCTCAAACCCAAGTTCTTGGCGGTGATTCTCGAACTCAGACGTCCTCCCAGGACTGCGGATTGCGATGCACTGGGACACCGACGACGCCAAGCCCAGGCCTCGTGGCCCCGGACCTCCTTCCCCCCGAGAGGGAGAGCAGCGCAAGGCTCCAGCAGCGCTTGCGTGGTGGAAAAGTCACCTTTTGGCCTCCTTTGACTTCCTGCAGCTCTGGACCGGTTTGGAATTATATGAGGAATGGAGTGGTTTCTAAATCCCTTCCTGCTCGAAAAGCACACCATTCAAAGCTGCTAAAATAAATACTTTAACAACTGCCTGGGACACACACACACACTTTCACTGTGCAGGGGGGAGGGGCGACACCGCTTGCCGCGGCTGGAGCTGATGGTATCCGGGAAAAAGACTTTTTTTTTTTTTGCCCCTGATTAAAAAACAAACAACAACAACGCCCTGCGGGGTGCGGAGGATGTTTCCGACACTCAAGGTTAGGGAAACGGTTGCAGCGACTCCAGGCGCTTGGGTCTCTCAACACAGGGCAGTGTTTGGGGGGAAACCGCTCCCCAGGTCAACTGGGGACCCAGCGGAATTTGTACCCGCCGCTGGCTGTCCGGATGGTGAAGGCGTTGCCCTGAGGAAAGGCGAGGGTGCGGATTGTGCTGTGGCTGCGGATGGGCGTGCTGAAGGAGCCGCCCTCCTCCAGCTCGCTGTAGCTCAGGTTCAAGGCTCCCTGGCCGCATTCGGTGCGCAGTCCTCGGAAGGCGCCGTGCAGGTTCCCGGGCCTGCGGTCTGCGCTGGCGGGCTCAGGCTGCAGGCGGGGCCGTTTGGGTTCTCGGCTCTGGAGGGCTTCATCGCAGCGCTGGGAAATCTCCCTCAGGATGGCGTCCACCTCGGCGCAATCCTGCCCCGCAGCGCTGAACAGCTCCTCCAGGCTCCTCTTGGCTGTCGCCTTGAGCAGCAAGGGCTCGGTCGCCACTCCGCAATCTCGGGACTGCGTGATCATCAACTTCTACGAAAGACGAGGAAAAGCGCCGCCCCGAGGCCAGTGAGGCTTTGCTGGAGCCGAGCGCACGCGCCAGCCGCCCGATCCTCTCCCAGGCCAGGGCACCAGGGCGGTGGGTCGGCGTCCTAGGACTCGCTGGGTCCCTCACACCCGCGCCCCCACTTACATCCAGCACCGAGGCCAGATGCCGGGTCCGACTGGCGAGTTCTTTGAGCTGCACGTTCCGCTCCTTGAGCGAGGCGATCTCCTCTTGCTTCTGGGTCAGGGTCACGTGTAGCTGCAGGGGAAGACCCCAACGTACAGCCAGTGCCCCACCCCAAGCCCCGCGCGCTCAACCTTGACTCCAGGAATGAGACCCCGCCCCCAGATCCACAGGGCAGCTACCGCGCAATGGCCCAAGGGCATGGCCAATGGCGAGACTAATAAACCAGTGCTTGAACTTTATTGTGTGTTTTTCCCCTTTCCACAAACTTTTTGAACAAAACGTATCTGATAAGTCCTCGAGGGTAGCAGGCAGCGCAGACTGCACATTCTTTCTCTGTATTTCAACCACCCCACGCCTCAGTTTGCTTATCTGTGAAATGGGGAGGGAAACTGAACTAGCTCAATGGGCATATCACATAGAGAAGGTGGTTGTATAAGCACACAGAAGATCAGAGCACACATACAAGGTCTCATGAAGAATCTCATGAGTAGGTGGAAAGGGGGTGGGATCCGCAGTTGCGTGGACCCTCAGCCAGTCACCGGTTCTGACACACAAGGGGTCACCACCTCCACCCAGGCCACCCCACTGCTGCCTGCGTCCACGTCCCTGGGGTAGGAGGCGGATCCCTGGTGGCAGCTCCGGGTCCCTACTTGGTTATTCTCCACAAGAGCGTTCCCCAGCGCCCTCTGGTTCTGGTCTGCCACCTCCTTCCAGTACTGCTCTGGCGGGGGCACATCTTGGGGGCACAGCGGCGGGGACGGCAGGGCCCTCGGCTCCAGAGGCCGGGAGAGGCAGGGTTCGAAGGGCGACATGTCGCAAGGAGAGAAAGAGAAACCATCGTCGGCTAGGGCAGGTGACATCAACGAGGATGAGTCTGGAGAAGAGAGCGAGGGGCTGGGTTAGCCGCTTGGGGCGCACACTCAGCGGCAACGCGCCTCGCCGAGCTGGGTAGGGTTTACTCTGAAACTTTTCTTCAGGCGGGTGCCTCTCCAATGAGCAAGGCCTGCCATTCTAAGGCCCCTTCGTGATATCTCGCCCGCATGCGCCTGGTGAGTTGACCTGAACCAAATCACGCACGTCTGCCTGCGCCTGGACTAGAACTCGCACCCATAAACCCGCCAGCACCCTTGCCCCAGGGATACGGGTTCCCCAGCATGGGAACCTAGAGCTCATCCCGTAGAGAAGACGCGGGCGAATCCGTGCTTCACCAACATGGACTCGGAACCAGCCGGCCTTCGGGGAGGCAGGCAGAGGCACCTGCGGCCATGGGGCCTGTCACCCGGACTGCACTTGCCTGATATCAAGTCGTCCACCGCGTCTCGGAAATCCTGCAGGTCCAAGTCCCCGTCGGCTGGCAGGGAATGGTTCTAAAATAAACGCAGAGCAGGATCCAGGTGATTGGTCGGGGAGGACCGCTACGGATTTCTGGCTAGGGGACAGACGCCCTCCAAGGGCGCCCAAGGCGCAGGGTGGTGGTGGTGGGGTCTACAGTGCACTCGCCTTCGTGGCCTTCTCTCGCACCTGAAACCCTAAGCACCACCGCGGCGACGAAATCCCGCAGTGTTACCGCATCCCCAGGGCTAAGCCAGCGGCGCTGAGCACCCACTCGATAGTGAGACTGCAGCTTGCAGCCCATCGGGCTCTTGCGCGCTGCCAGCACAGGGACCCCGAGCCACCAGACGCTGTGGCCTCCGAACGCCCACGCAGACTTACGCCGACCCAACCAGGAGCCGCGGCTCTAGGAGAAAACACGGCCTTTCTGAGCCCTTGACAACAGTCCCTTGAAGCCCTGTCCCCCACCCCCACCCCCCAGTGAGGCGAACGCCTTCCCCCGCTAAACAAAGGAAAATGGAAGTGAAGATCTAGGAATCCAAGGATGCTAAGGGGACCCAAGGGAGCTTTCTGCGCAGCAGGTGTAGCTCTTGCGGCTTTCGCCAGTTTCTCAAAATGCAAGGCAGCTCATGCACCTGCGAGTTCTCGAACGCCTTCCTGGGCTTCCCCACCATGTCTGGGGGTGGGGAGATAGAGATAAGGCGTGAGGAGGAAGAGGATGGTAGAAGGCTAGAGACCCAGGAGCTTTCTATTTCCCTTAAATCGTGGTCAGGATGCCTCTGTGCCATTGAAGAATCCAAAGCTCAGGGAGGTTTGAGAAGCCCAAAGTCAGTTGCCGAGTTCGGCAAGCTGGGACCCTGAGGAAGCCGGCCTTGCGCAAGCCGTGCATCTCCATCCTCCTTCCTTGGTGGCTCCTCGCGGGCAGTTCTCTGTTTGCAAATGACCTGAGGGCAATGGTGTACATTGAAATGCCTATCAGAAATACTGATTCCTGTTATTCATCCTATTCCCCCCCAAATCCTTTTTTTTTCTATTTTGGCTAACAGCTTATTCATCCCAGTAGATGCCAATATCAATTTCCCTCCAAAAAGAAAGAGTGACGCTGGGAGAGGGGGGTAGAGGGGAGCTGCCATTGTGTCCTGCAGCCACCAGCTGCAATGCCACGCCACCGCCGGCTTCCCATGTGGGCACTGCTTGGTGGCACAGCTGCTTCACTTCAATCCAGCTCTCCTGCTGATGTGTCTGCAAAGGCAGTGGAGGACCGGACAAGTGCTTGAGCATCTGTTCCAACCCCAACCCTTCCTCCCCCCATCCAGCTCCTTGCTAATACACCTGGGAAAGCGGTAGATAACTGAAGTGCTTGGGCTCCAGCACCCACATTGAAGACCTGGAAGAAGATCCTGGCTTTGTCCTGCCCCATCCCTGGAATTACGGTGTGCAGATGGGTGGAAGATATTTCTCCCTCTCCCTCTCTAAGAAACAAATATATATATATATATATATATATATATATATATTTAAATGTAACTGAAAGTCTCACATAGAGGACACCAGAGGCTATAAGGAGAGGGGAGCTGCCAAACTTTGAGTCCTGCCTCCCCAAACAAACTTGGCATCTCTCCAACTACAACAGAAAGGGTGGCGGGGAGCTAGGAACATAGAACACATGTCAAATGCGAGTGTTGTGTACACCGTAGCAAACGGATCAGTGAGAGTCCCTCGGGTTGGGTACCCAAAATAAAGAGGCTGGGGTAAGGGCGTGTCATTGGCCTCCCAGGAAGTTGACAGATATCTGCTTGAGTAACCAGGTCTAAAACCAACAACTAAATGGTCTCTGCGGAAGGAAAGAAAAAAAAATGCCAATTTCCATTCCTGGCCTCACAAATCCCGGCTTTGAGCAAACGCCCACCCCAAGTTCCCCCGGGGTTCTATCTCAAAGTTCTTTCCGACTTGTGTTCCACCACCAGCTCGGACGCAGGAGGTGTTTATTTTGCACCTTCTCGAAACTTCTGTGTTGGGTCTGTCTCCCCAAGGACCTCGTGGCCCCAGCATTGGCCACCAGGAAGCTGGTGTGGACTGCAGCTGGCCAACTTCTTATCCTTCTAGGTACTTGGAACTCCATCGACGATTCCAGAACTGGGAGGCTGCAACACCCTCCCGGGGCAGGGGGGGGCCGGAGTAAGGAGTGATACAGACAGAAATAAGAAGGGGGATGGGAAGAGGGAAGTCAGATTCCTTGATGTCCCTAACTGTTCTGAACAGAGCTTTAGAAAGGGGCGAATAGGACTGCCTTAACCGCGCCCGTCCGTGGTTGGGACCCTTCTCTTTCAGATTTCTTCCTTTGGCATCCTTTCCGTTTGCCCACAAGCAAGCTCCTCCTTTCCAGCTTTGAAGGGAAGTCGTCCGTCGACTCCTGCTCTCCTTAGGCAGTCGTGGGATGAGAAGGGCGAATGAGTGGCCGGAAAGGGGTTGCAGGTAGAATAGACCAAGCACGCCTCCTTTGCGCAGGTGCGCGCTGCGCTCGCAGCTTTGCTTCCGCCCACCCCATCCCGCCCGGCCCCTCAGTGGACAATCTTGTCATCACTCCTAGAAGCAGATGAGCAGAGCAGGGGAGCCCTCCAGGTGAGCCCCATTGTGCTGAGTGCGTCGGAACAACTCAGGCAATGCGGCTTTCCGAACACACTAGGAGGGAGGAGGACGTTCGGATATGGGAGTTCAGGTTTCTGCTCCCCCTTTCCACACCCCTCCCCTCGCCGCCTACCCGACCGGCTGAAAGTGCCTGAGTCCCCAGCCCGAGGCGAGTCTTCGCGTCCACCCGGAGTGTGATGTGAGTTATCAGCCGTGGCCACCCAGGGCAGGTACCTGCGAGGCGGCCGGGTTATCACTAGGCGGCGCGTCGGTCCCGAGTAGCGAGGAACAGTCGGCGAGGTCCTGTAGGTCTATGGTGGTGAGGGCTGCGCGAGGGAGACCGAGAGACACGCACCGCGCGGCCCCTGAGCCTCCAGGCTCCAGGACATGCAAGCCCGGGCCGGGGGAAGCGCAGCAGGAGCGCTCCGGAGCCGCGCGAGCGCGCCGCACCCACCCGGCGCGGGGAGCCACGGGGTCGTGCGCAGGTGCCACGGAGCTCACCTGGCAGCGCTGCAGACTCCGCCTCGGAGGGATCCTGGTACACCAACACCCGTTTGCCTCCGCTGCATCCGGGAAAGAACTTGAGCGGGGAGGCGAACTAGCCGGGTACAGAAAGCGTGAACGCAGGTTATCCCTGGAAGGCTTGCAGAAACACCGACGACCACTCCCGGCCCCGGCCAGCAGCTCCCACCTTCCTGTCCAACGTTCCCGGCTTGCCGAGAGGCCGGCGGGGCGGCTCCAGCATCCTGTTGGGACAGATGCTGTCGAAAGCCCGGCGTCCCGCGGCTCCACCTCCGCACGTCTGCATCGTGCCTCCCTCGCCGACTGCTCGGAGGCGGCGGCCCCGGATGAAGCGGGCCACCTTACACCTTGCGCTCCGCCCGGCGCCTGCGGCCTCGGAAGGCGGCTGGAGGTCGGGGCAGGCGCGTGGCCGGGGAGGAGCCAAGGGGAGGCCGAGGAGGAGCGGCGGGAGGATGGACGCGCGGAAGGAGGGGCGGCTCGCGCCAGAGCGCCCGGAGGTGGCGCCTTCAGCCCGGGACAATCTGCGCGCAGGCGGAGGCGTTAAAGCCAACCTGGCAACGCCGCCTCCCCTGGGAGCGGCGAGCGCGGGGCACGGCCCGCGAGCGCCCTTTGGGCGAACGTTGGCGCCACCGCCGCCTCCCCGGGCGCGCGAGGGCCACAGGAAGGGAAAAAAGGCAGGATAGGCTCAACGCCCATCCGTCTCCAGCCCGAGGTACCGCCTTCCGGGACACAGACGGGCAGCGGTGGGAAAAGGAATGATTTGTATTTTCTTTTCTTCCCACGCCAAGCCACCAGGCGCGAAATCACAGTGGAGCGACACTCGTCGATGCCGGATGCCGGCCTCTTGCTTTGCCAACCTGGACTTAGTGGAAATCCCAGCACCTTCCGCCTCCCAGGTTGCAGAAACTCCTCTCTCCCTTCCAACCTGGGTAGGATTCGGGTCCCTCTCATCCCCTTTCACTTTAGCCGCTCTTGGCCAGATGCCCAGAGCCCTGTCTCGCACCCCTGGCCATCCACTTTCCCGGCAGTTGGCGCCAGAGCACAACCCTTAAAACGCAAGATGAATTTAGAGCATCTCCCAGGAAGGGGAGGGGATCCCTCAAACACATCCACTAGCTTCTGGCTGGGCCACCTGCTGGGCGCTTTGTTTGTTTTTTTTTTTTGCCTGGGTTCCTAGTCTGTGGCGAAAAGTCCTCCTTCCAAGGGACCTGGACGTCTTTAAGCCCCTTATCAGCCAGTCTTAGCAGGGCTGGAGAGTCACCGAGCGGTGGAGCTGGGACCGATGGCTGCAGGATCAGAGACAATGGGGTTGGCCCGCTAGACTGGGCGTGACTTGGCAGATGGGAGGGGCCCTGGCTTTAGGGTCAGAGGGCTTTGGAGCCTTGATGAACAGATCTCTTGGGCGGCGGTCTTCATGGTAAACCAGGGAGACTGACCTCAGGAGAGCTGCTGTCAAGATAAGGGAGTCCTGTGAAGTGATTAGTGCTTGATATGGATATGTTAATGTTGTTGGGTTGGTTTTTTAAAAGATTTATTTATTTTATTGCAAAGTCAGATATACAGAGAGGAGGGAGAGACAGAGAAGATCTTCTGTCCAATGATTCACTCCCCAGGTGACTGAAATGGCCGGTACTACGCTGATCCAAAGCCAGGAGCCAGGAGCTTCTTCCAGGTCTCCCATGTGAGTGCAGGGTCCCAAGGCCTTGGCCAGCCCTCTACTGCATTCCCAGGCCACAAGCAGGGTGCTGGATGGGAAGTGGGGCCGCCTGGATTAGAACCGATTAGAACCTGCGACCATATGGGATTAAAGTCCTCACATTCAAGGCGAGGACTAGCCACTAGGCCACAGCACCGGGTCTGGTTATTTTGTTTTAAAGCAGACTTTTTCAGCTACGCTTTGAGCTTCCCACCTCCTGGTTCTGTGTGATTCAGGAGTAGCATGGCCCACCAACTGTTCCCTCTTCCTCTCATTTCCCATCCTGAATGAGTTGGGCAGCTCTCTGCATGTGGAAATCATCACAGGTATTCTGGGACAGACTAGTGTTTTTGCAGTAAGTCATCAGTGAGTCCTGAATTTGAGCAAAAAAATACAGACATGGTGCAAGAGGTGTACCTGAAGCCACGGGCACTGGAAAGGTGTGGTTCTGAATTCTGAAATCAGAGAGGAGTGGAGTTTTAGGGGATTTGACTGGAGTAGGTAATTTAGCAAAAATAACTTCTTCCAAAGCCATTCTTTTGCAGGGGCCAGGCTGAGGCCCCCAGATGGGCTGGGACTTGGGACAGGTGATGTTGCCCCCCCCCCCCCAACACACACACACACACAGCTTTTCCCTAGTCCCTTTAGGGATTAGACCTCCAGCTTAGGGAACCTAAACTAGGCTCCCAGGCTCTGGAGGGGGACTTGGAAGATGAACTGTGGGGAGAAGTAAAAAGAAGTCTCTGAGTTTACACTTATTTGCCATTTATTTATATCAGTTGCATGTGTTTATTTATTGGGCATGACTGGGATTCTCTCCCCTGTCGCCCCCAAAAAAAGCTTTGTAAGATTTTTTTTTAATCATGGAAAAATGAGCCAGTGTTCAGCCCCCAGTGGCTAACACCGTCCGGTATTTGCATTCACTATACCTTTTCTCCAAGCTGTTCTACATAACCCCTCCGTCTGTTTCCTCTGAGCCTCATTTCCTGAAAGTTTTCAGTGTGCCAGGCACCGCACAGACCATCTCATTCACACCTCAGCCCTATCAGATAAGTGTGGTGGCGACTGTTTGGCCAGATGAGCCCTGGATAAGGAGATGTGACTTGTCTCAGGGCACCTGGCAAATTGGCTGCTGGACCTGCTTGTTCACTGGCTACTCTGACGCTGTCCAGTATGGGGATCAGGCAACATCCCTGCAGAAGTGTAATGGTACCTAAATGTAACCTTACTTAAGGTTCCCAGCAACCGTATCTGAACTCTGTGCGGGAGATGAAGGAGCCAAGCTTGACAGCCTGCAGCAGGTTCACCACTGCGAGAATGAAGAACCACCTGACTCAGGCAAGCCCCGCATCTCTCAGCTCCAGCTTTCCCATCTGGCAAAGGAGATCTAGAACACGACTGGAGGGAAGGAGGGGGTTGGCAAACACATGCTTTCCCAGCCCCTATCAAACACAGAGCCCTGAATGGGTAACTTGTCTGTCTCACACCTCAGGAAAGCAGTTTTGAACATTCGCAGAAAGCCACAAGGAGTGTTTCCGAAGTATACCAAGTGTCTATTTTGAAGAGACTGCATGGATTCCAAAAGTGCACTGACATGAACCTATCTTTTAGATTTATGTCCTAAGAGCTTTCTGGTTTTTTTTTTTTTAGATTTGTTTTTATTGGAAAGGCAGATATACAGAGAGGAGGAGAGACAGGAAGATCTTCCATCTGATGGTTCACTCCCCAAGTGGCCGCAATGGCTGGAGCTGAGCCAATCCAAAACCAGGAGCCAGGAACCTCTTCCAGGTCTCCCACGCGGGTGCAGGGTCCCAAGGCTTTGGGTCGTCCTCGACTGCTTTCCCAGGCCACAAGCAGGGAGCTGGATGGGAAGAGGAACCTCCAGGATTAGAACTGGCGATCATATGGGATTCCAGCGTGTGCAAGGCGAGGACTTTAGCCTCTAGGCCATTGTGCTGGGCCCTAAGAGCTTTCTTAAAATAGCTCTTATGAACAAAGAAAGTTTAGCAATGTGGCTCATGAAGGGAGCCCTGGACTCACATTACCTGCCTTCAAATACCTGCCTATTTCTCTGTGCCCTACTGTCCGGTGAGATAACAGACTCTGCTTTCTGGAGCTGTTGCCAGATTAAGACAAGGCATGATGAACATAAATGCCAGGCAAGCGTGCAGTGAGCCCAAGACCTTGGCCTCCTGGATGGAGCCACATGCGCAGGTGAACGTGATCACGAGGTACTTGAAATGCTCACCAGGGCCCAGAAAGCGTTCATTTCCAACACCCAGATCAGTGTCCCAGGGGACCCACTACACCCATGTGTGTGCCATCTGGCTGGACAGCCTGCACGTTCTGTCCTCCCCCACAGCACCCTTTGGACCCGAGGGTGCACAGTCCCCAGGAACCTCTTGACAATAACGGCATCAGGATAGATCACAACAGGAAGCCTGTTTATTGGACAATGACTGAGGGAGCCGGCTCCTGTGCTCTCAGCAAAATAAATAAACGTCCTAGATTCTGTAATTGTACATTATTTACAATCTGCAGGATGTCCTCTGAGGCAATGGGAGAGGTTGGGCCACGGCCCCAGAAATGAGAAACCAAGGTTGGGTTTTATTTGGAGCAGGGGGCCAGGCTGCACTTCTCACAGATCTCCAGGGGCAGCATGTGAGTCAGAGAGGTCCTGTTTATGGCCACCAACAGTTGCAGCTTGCCCAGGCAGTCTTGCAGCACAGCCTCAGGGTGGCCGCCTAGGCGCAGGTCCAGGGGGTGCCGGAGTTGCAACATGCTGTCGGCCAGTGCCAGGCAGCAGATGGCCATGAGGGAGGGGGCGTAGCTGGTGAAGGCGTAGTTGGCCAGGCTCAGCTCGGCCACGCCCCGTGCCAGAGCTTGCGCTTCCAGAGCTTGCGAGACTTCGGCCTGTCCGGCCTCCACCCGAGCGTGCGTGAAGTGCTCCAGAAAGAAGCTGATAGTGGGTGCGCCCAGGCTGAAGTGCAGCTTGTGCAGTACGATGCACTCCAGGTTGCACAGCTGCTGCTGGGAGAAAGCCCCGCAGCACAGGGCCAGGAGCTGCTTCACGCGCGGTGGGTGCACCTCCACCTGCAAAACAGGGCGGGCTCAGTCCTGTCCCCGCCCACCTCGTTGCAAGGTGTTGAGCAGCCAAAGGCTCCACCCACTACACTGAAACCTGGCTCCCCCTCGTCCCTTCCAAAAGGACAGAGTCCAGGGCTTCGCTTCCCCATCGCTTCCATTTGAATCACTCTCAGCTTCTTTAATCACTGTGCAACTTAGAAGAGGGTTTGGGAAACCCCGGAGGTTTTCTTCCCCGACACCAGAATAAAGGGAAGGCAGAGCTGTTTCGGGACCGATTTTAGCTTGTTTCTTTTGAGGACTAAGGATACTTAGTTTGGGGAGGATGGGGTGGTAGGGATTGTGGAGTGAAGGCTGTAAAGGCTGTGGGATGGATGGAAAGCTGGGTGGATCGCGGTGCCTTTTAAACCCCAGGCACTCGGGCGGGCCAGGTACCTGTTTGCAGGCAATGAGCAGGGAGGTGACCCCAAGCAGCTGAAAGCAGTCTGCAGCTACTGGCGTGGTGGCGAGGAAGCGATCCAGAATATTCACCGTGAGGCACAGTGATTCAAAAGACAGGCTGAATTGGCGGTGCACGGGGATCAGCCAGCTGAGCAGCTTGCAGCGGGATTCGGGCGTCACCTGCAGGGAAGGGGAGGGACAGGAGGGGAGGCAAGGGCCGGCTGAGCCTAGGCGGAGAGGGGCGGGGGAGCCCAGGCCGCTCAGGCAGCTCGCCCGGAGAAAGGCAGGAAGGCGGGGACGCGATGGGGAATGGAAGCTAAAGGAACCCAGCAGCCTGCAGGCAGCGCAGGGGCAGAAGGCGGTGGCCGGGGCTGGCGGCCAGAATGCCGGCGTTCGAGCCCAGCGCTGCGCACACCGCTTTGTGCACTTTTCGACCCGGCAAGTCTATGGAAAAGGGGGTGATACAGGGCTCCATCCTGTATTTGAAGAACAAGCTCAGGGTTCGTTCAACTTGTCTAGCTTCCTCCTCGGTCCTTTATGATGCCCTCTACCCCCAGCTTAAACCAGCTTGGGGCGCCCCACCGGACTGCATCCATCTCCTGAAAACGGGGGGCGAGTGGCCCGGCTCTCCCAGGCCCTTTTGCTCCCACCGGGGCGGGAATGGACGGACACAGCCAGCAGGGAGGCGGAGAGGGGCGTGGGGAGGAGGAAGGTGGCGGCGGGCGAGGGGAGAGGGGCTGGCCTAGGTCCGCGGCTCACTTGTGGCTGCCGTGCCAGAGACTCCAGCGGGTGGAAGCGACTCTCCTGCGCCCGGCGGAAGGCGTAGCAGCTCTGGCCGTAGTCGCGGAAGGTCTGCAGGTCGAGCGGCGCCAACGGCTGGACCGGGCCGGGCTGGGGGCTGCAGCCTCGCGCTACCGACGCGGCGGGACTATCCGCGCCATCCGAACCGGAACTGGGGGACTCGAACAGGTCGCAAATGCCAGAGTCTCCGGGCACCTGACACGGCCTGAGGGACTGCAGCGGCTGTTTCCTTCGAAGACGCGGGCGCCTGCTCTTCTTCACCGGGGCGCGGAGGTGCTGGTCGTTGTCGCGCCTCCCCGCCCGGGCGGTAGGGCTCGCGGGGCTGCTGGGGCAGGGGGTCACCATGATGCAGCCAGGGAGCCACCTTCGTCACCCCTCAAGGCCTCGGCTACGGTGGCGGGCTGCAAACCGCGCGCGCCAGAGGACTAGGGAGGCCGGGCCCGGCGCCTGGCGAGGCCCCTAAGTAGCCGGCCTGGCCCTTCCCTGTGCCACACCCCTCGTCCCCTCACTGGCCGAGCCCGGGCGTCACGAGAGCGCCGCTCTCCCGCCTGGGGAGCCACTCCCCCGGCCCCGAGCCGCGGGCCGAACGTCGCCGGGTCGCTCCGTGAGGTGAGGGGGAGGAGGCGCTCGCAGCAACGGGCGCCGAACACCCGCCTTCCGCCGCGGGCTCCGCGCGCGTCCCGGGTTACCCCGGCAACCGGAGCCCGGGTCGCCACGGGAGCTGCGCGTGCCACGCCGGCGGCGGCGCAGCCAGGTGAGCTGGGGGCGCCCGGCCCTGCGTCCAGACGCCCCTTTGGGGTACCTGCCCATTCTGGGCAGCTGGACGCGGGGGTAGCACAATATTCGCTTTCACAGAAAGGCGGCTTTTGGGTGGCAATCTTGGCTCAAACGTTTCCCTCAGTGACCCATGCTTAGCAGTTATGTGGATTCCGTTGTGTTTGTGGTTTGTTGGTTTGGTTCAGTCTACCCGAAAAACTCCCGACTGGTGTCTGGGAGCAGAACTAAGGCCTGTACTGTGGGATAGGAGGGAGCTAGTTTTGCCAGCCAAGCAAACATTGGTGCTGAGACAAAACTGATAAGTGCCCAGCGAATCTCAAACTGTGACTCTGCAGCCAGTCCCCTAAAGGCCGGGTAAGCAGAGCCTGCAGCAGTTTCAACCTTGCTGAAAGGTTGTGTGGCTACTTTTACCGAATTGTTCACAGCCCGTTCTGTTTGAGGTCGTTAGCTTCTGACCTGCCGCCTGGCAGTCCTAGTCTTGCCTTGGTTATTTCCTGCCCTGAGCCCAAAGGATTGATTACACTTGGCAGTTCCTTAAGATTTAGTCCCAGAGGCCTGGCCTGGGTGACTTCTCCTAAGTGTCCCTGAACCTTTTAGCTGAGTTGATCCCAAGCCAGGAACTGGGAGCTTCTGTAGGAGCTTTTTCCTGTCTCCCACGCGGTTGCTGGGTCCCAAGGACCTGGCCTGTCCTCCACTGCTTTCCTGGGATATAGGCAGGGATATAGATAGGAGGTGGAGCAGCCAGAATGCGAACCAGTGCCCATAGAGGGTCCTGGGGCTTGCAAGATTAGCTAATTGAGTCATTGTGCTGCCCCTCCTCTCTTTTTCTTTTCTTTCATTTCTTAAGATTTCTTGTTTTCTTTATTTGAAAGGCAGAGTTACAGAGAGAGAGGCGAGAGAAACTTCCATCTGCTGGTTCACTCCCCAAAATGGCCACACAGCCTGGCCAGCAGCTTCTTCCAAGGTCTTCCACGTGGGTGGCAGGGACCCAAACACTTGAGCCATCTTCTTGGTGTTTTCCTAGGTGTATTAGCACGGAGCCAGATGGAAGTAGAGCTGCTGGATCTCAAATCCACACCCATATGTAGTAGACTTAACTAGTTTTGCCACAGTGCCAGCCCCCAGAGAAATATTCTCAGTGAAGAAGAGAAACCCAGAAATTCTGATTCTTCCTACTCACCCAGAGGGCCAGGTTGGAGCAGTGGGAAGGGCATGAAGCCAATACCAAGAGTCAACATTCGCTTTTGTTTCCTGGTCATCTTGAGCAGGCCACTGGCCATCTCTAAAGCTCTTATCCCTTATCTGTTAGGTGTAAATATTCCCACTTACCTTGAGGGGCTACCCCAGAGCCTTTACTGGGAAGCTGACCATGTGTGTCGTCATGCTGGAGATACTCTGAGGAGTAGGGCCATCATTTGATCTACCTGTGAGTGCTGGACCTCTGCATCTCCCTGCCTATAATTAGCGTCAACTCCCAGCAGGTGCCATCTGAGTGGTGGCTGGATGGAGCTGCTACTCTATAGCTTTGGTGGCATGTCTGTTGTGCCAGGCACAGAGCAAGACTGTATGGGTCCTAACTGGAGCTAACTCTAGCAGGGGAAGTAAGGGACCACTTGTCTCACCTGCTTAGGTTATTGCATGTGATAAAGTGATGATTCGAGTCTCCAGGATTTAGGGTTGATGGATAAATACTTAGCATCCATTTCATGAGAATGTCAGATAGGAGCCAGCACAGTGACATGGCACGCTAATATTCTACCTACAGCACTGACATCTCATATGGGCCCTGGTTCTAGTCCAGGTTGCTCCACTTCCACTTCAGCTCCCTGCTGAAGGAGGATGATCCAAGTCTGTGGGCTCCTGCATCCGTGTAGGAAACCCAGAAAACTCCTGGCTTCCATCCCAGCTCTGGCCATTGTGGCCATTTGGGGAGTGAACCAGCAGGTGAAAGATCTCTCTCTCTCTGTAGGTTTGACTTTAAGTAAAATTAATATATTTTTAAATAGGGCCCGGTGCAATAGTGTAGCGGTTAAAGTCCTCCCTTTGAACACGCCCGGGATCCCATATAGGCGCCGGTTCTAATCCCGGGAGCTCCACTTCCCATCCAGCTCCCTGCCTGTGGCCTGGGAAAGCAGTGAAGGACGGCCCAAAGCTTTGGGACTCTGCACCTGCATGGGAGATCAGGAGGAAGTTCCTGGTTCCTGGCTTCGGATTGGCTCAGCTCCACCCATTGCAGCCACTTGGGGAGTGAATCATTGGATGGAAGAGCTTCCTCTCTCTCTCTCCTCTCTGTGATCCGCATATCCAATAAAAATAAATAAATAAATATTTTTTAAAATGTCAAATAAATAAATTTTTTATTATGTATGCAATTAATACATATGGGGCTTCTTTATAAGAAAGTATTCATTTGTTATTGGAAACCCAAAGATTGCCTGGCATTCTTATGCTAAAAGAGTGTATGGCTATCATTCAGATTTGATTTGGCATCTTGCCATCTGGAGGCCACCGAAGTTCCTTCTAAGAGCAAGTAGCCTGAGCTGCAAAGTTCCCCATACAAGTGATATTTAAACAAGTAGAGGGGATGAGGAAAGAAGAGAAGAAAAGGTGAGGGTGGGAGTGGTCCCAGCAGAGGTTCAGGAAATGGGGAGGTGTGGAAGTGTGATTCCTGAGACCTTATTTAACACTAGATACAGAATGGCACAGTGTGTGGATGTGAGGGGTTTGGGGGTAAGACAAGCTGTAGCACCGATGCTGGCTGTGACATGAAACGTCATGTGGCAGGTGCTCCATTGTGTTCCATTATGCTTGTTGCTTCTGTTTATGTTGAGTTTACCGTCCCTACAGCTCCATGAAATAGCTTCTATCATTGTCCCCATTTCTGTTTTCAAAATTATTTGTATTGGAAAGGCTGATTTACAGAAAGGAGAGACAGAGAAAGATCTTTCATCCACTAGTTCTCTCCCCAAGTGGCTGCAATGGCTGGAGCTGAGTTGGTCCAAAGCCAAGAGCCAGGAGCTTCCTCATGTGTCTCACACAGGAGCAGGATCCTGTGACTTTGGGCCATCCTCTGTTGCTTTCCCAGGCCAAAAGCAGAAAGCTGGATGGGAAGTGGAGCAGCCACAACATGAACTGGTGCCCATATGGGATCCTGGCACTTTGCAAGGAGAGGAGTAGCCAATTGAGTCATTGCGCTGGGCCTGTTGTCCCCATTTCATAGATGGCAAAGCTGAGGTGTGGAGAGATAATTTGAAAGATTCAGCAAAGTAAATGGTAAAACTAGAACTCAAACTGAGTCTAAGCAGATCCTTGTTCCATAATACAAGACTATGTTATATCAACAAGTAGCAAGATCATGCAGTACCCTGTGGGTTACAGAAGCCTTTATATTTCACCTGAAAAGCTGCTGAAGATCTTGGATCATGGAGCGAGATAATAGGCTTGGTGATGGGTGTTTGGCCGAGAAGTGGTTAAGTCTCTGCTTGGGGGCCCAGCGCCATAGCTCATCTGGGTAATCTCCCTGCCTTTAAGTACCGATATCCCATATTGGCACTGGTTTGTGTCCCATTGGTTTGTATCCTGTTGGCACTGGTTTGTGTGGCCATTTGGGGAATGAACCATGGATGAAAGATCTTTTTTCTGTCTTTTGTTGTCTCTGCAAATCTGCCTTTCCAATAAGATACTACTACTAATACTACTACTATTACTCAAAAGAATGCAAAACCTCATTAGAACAGGCTTGCTGGTCACGATTGGAACTATTTGTTTTCAGGTCTGATTTGCAAAACCTTACAAGGCAGTGTTAAATGCAGCAGAACAGCAGGTGTGGCACTTCAGCTTGAAACCAGTGTCCCCTCTCTGCCACCATCCTGTGTCTGGGGTTGAAGCAGGAACTAGGCATTTTCCGACACTACCTACTTGCAACAAGCAAAGCCAGTAGCTGCCATCTGTTCGTAGACTTGTTCTGTAAACACCTTGAACAACCCTCAAATCTAGTTTTAATGTCACTAAAAATCATATCATTAAGACTCACAAGAGAAAGAAAAAAAAGACTAAAGGCTCTATTTGCCATGGCTCTGTTTAAGCACCAGACTGAAAGTGTCTTTGGGAGTACTTGTAATCAGACAAGTTTCAGTGGTGTTTAGGGAACAAAGGGAAGGTATTTCCAGCACATGTTGAAAACCTAGACGTTTGAGTGGCACGCCTGGAGAAAGGGCCGCCTCTTTGTTAGCTGCCTTCCTGGGACTCGGCCAGTTCCCAGTTCATCAAAGGTTCACCATACAGGGTTAGGCGTGCCGGGTCTCCCTTCGCGCCTGCATGAGCTGCTCCCTCTTCACGCCCACCTGTGGCAACCTGCCCAGCCCAACACAAGGCACCACCTTGGGCTAGTTGAAAGCCTTGGTTCTGGATTTAAACTCTTTGAGGTCAAAGGCCAGCTGCATCCAAATTAGCTCTGCAAACTTGGACAAGTTACTTAACCTTTTTATTCTTCAGTTTACCTAGTTAAAATACACATGGAAAAGGAACAAGGCAGGTGTTTGGTTCAGTGATTAAAATGTTTGGGTCCCACAGTAGCGTGCCTGGGGACTGCCTGTGCCCCTGCTTCCTGAATCCTGAACTCTAGGTATGTCTGTCTGCTCTCCAAATAAATCAAAAGGGTCAAGTGCGATAGCTCAGTGGCTGAATTCTTGCCTTGCAACCACTGGGACCCCATATGGACACCAGTTCATATCCTGGTAGCCCTACTTCCCATCCAGCTCCCTGCTTGTGGCCTGGGAAAGCAGTTGAGGATGGCCCAAAGCTTTGGGACACTGCACTCACACGGGAGACCCAGAAGAAGCTCCTGGCTTTGGATTGGCTTTTGATCAGCTCAGCTCTGGCCATTGTGGCCACTTAGGGAATGAATTGGCGATGGAAGCTCTTTCTCTCTCTTTTCTTCAAAATAAATAAATAAATAAATCTTAAAAAAATGGTAACATGCTTTTCCCCCTTGATATTCTTCCTTTCTGTCCTGCTAAAACCTCTCCAATGAAGACAGTTCTTGCTTTCAGATGTATCCCATGTAAAAACTTAATGAGAAGACACCTATTTGTGTACTACTATCAGGACCCAACAACTTACCGGAAGAACATGGCATCTTTCTCATTCGATCCTCTAATTTTTCTTGCCACCACTGCATGTCACCTTCCTGGTTTTTTTTCCTCATGACTGTAGCATGACCTGGTTTTCTCTTGTCTTTGTCCTGCATCCCACACAGGTGGCAGGGACCCAAGCATGCTTATGCAGGCAGTTGAATTAGAAGTGGAGGAGTTGGAGCCAAGGTGGTGGTTCAGCAGGCTAATCCTCTGCCTTCTAAGTGTTGGCATTCTTTATGGGGGCTGACTTGTGTCCCTGCTTATGGCCCGAAAAAGCAGTGGAGAATGGTCCAAGTGCTTGGGTCCCCGTACCTACGTGGGAGACCCAGAAGAAAATCCTGGCTCCTGATTTTGGGTTGGCTCAGCTCTGGCTATTATAGTACTAGGGAAGTGAACCAGCACATGAAAGATCTTTCTATCTCTTCTATGTAAATCTGCCTTTTGAATAAAAATAAATATATCCTATTTTTTTTTTTTTAAGAAAAAGTGGAGGCGGTATCTTTTTCAACTTTCTCTGTTCCTTCATCACATCAATAACGAATACTGGTTATTTGCTGCCCCACCCTTCCGTTTTTTAGTCCTAAAGTTATGATTTGTGCCTGTGCAGCAGTTCTTGTAGCAGGCTCAAGGTTGTCAGAGGATCTGCAGAGTTGGCTCAAGGCTTTTCAAAGTGGTCTGCTTTTTAGGTTAATACTATTTTGCTTCTTGGAAGTATTAAGTGTCCACCTTCTGTCTAGAAACCTGGAATTTAGACGGTTAGGCCTGGTCCTTGTGCTCAGACTGAAGAGGGCTTTCCTGGACAGAAACTGCACAACCCAGGGGAAGGCTATGGGTTGGTTGCAGGTGAATTTTGTTGCGTGTCCTTTAGAATGAACTATGGCACCTGTGTTGTACAGCAAGTCCTTCTAGTGAGTTGCCAAATGCATGGGTGGTGGTGGGACTACTCATGGTGTCCTTCCCTGTCACTCTCTATTCAAACTGCTCTCCCAAGGCTGCTGGATTCTTAGTTTTCCCCTGGTCTGTAACATCTGTTGACAATACTCTTGTTTTCAAAAAGTCTCCTTTGGTATCTGTAAGATAGCCTGGCCTTGGCCTTTTTCATCTCTCATTCATTCAGCATTTACTGAATGCCTGTGAACTTGACAGTGAAGCAGGGTGCAGCAGACAGTCTGCTGGGAGGAGACACAAAGCAGATAGTGTGTGCTGAGAAAGTTCTAAGAGTGCTTAGAATGGGAGATGGACTTCAGCAGGTGATCTGTGCCGACAGCGTTGCATCGGGAAAGTCTGTTGCGTAAATAACCAGAAGCAGTGTTGATAGCAGAGAGCAGCATGTGCAAAGCTTAAAATCACTATTTCCCATCTAGGAATTGAAAAGGAGCCTGGTGCAGCTGTGCCCCAATACAAGTGGGAGTGGGAAGATGAGGAAGCAGGTGTAGCATGCTGGTCATGTTTAGAATTTTAAAGCTCAATGGGAAGTCACTAAGGGTTTAATCAGCCAAGTGACATGGGTACATGGGTTAACTTTTTTTGTTTATTTGAAAGGCAGATTTTACACAGAAGGAGAGACACACAGAGAGAGGTCTTCTACCCACTGGTCTGCTCCCCAAATGGCTGCAACTTGTCAGAGGCAAGTTGATCCAAGCCTGAAGTCAGAAGCTTCTTCCTGGTCTCCCATGTGGGAGGTCCATCCTCTGCTGCTTTTCCAGGAACTCTAGCAGGCAGTAATGTCCTTTTAAAAGACGATTCTGTTTGGGTTAGAAAGCTATAAAAAGAAGGGGAGAGCCCAACCAGGTTACTACAGTGGTACAGGTAACAAATGACAATGTGTGATGGCCATGGAGATGGAAAGAAGTGAATGGATTTTGACTTATAGTTCTGTAAAAGATTCAACCTTCATGTCCTTGCTCAACTGCCAGATCTTCATCATCTCTGTGCAAGACAGCCCAGGTCTCTAGTCCTGATGGGAGCCACCGGTGCACTTGTTCAAAGGAATAGCTCTTAGCTCCTGGCTTTGGCCTAGTATGGCCCCCAACCATCAAAGTCATTTGAAGAGTGAACCAGTAGATGGAAGACCAATCTGTCTCTCTCCCTCTGTCACCCTGCCTTTCAAATAAAATAGTCTTTAAGTCTGTGGCATTAGCTTGAACATGCAAGACGATCACCATGGGTGCTGCCTAAGGCCTCTACCATTCCATCTGTGTCCATATAGTTCAAGTGTTAAAGTGCCTCTAGTACCAAATCCAGCTTTCTGCTGACACATCCATTTCTTTAGTTGAAATTAGCTAAAGATTCCAAGCTGTAGTCACATTTTACCATGCTCTCAAATTCCTCACCACAATGCAAGACTAAAGCTAGTCTGCTACCAATTTTTTTTTTAACTTCCATTTTGACATATTGTGAAGCTTCTTTCATTTATCAATAAATAGCAAAATTAAGTACCCATTATGAGACCTAAGCAACTGACTGGGTACACCTTAACCTTTTGTCTTTAGATATAATTTCTGGTGTCTGAAATATAAAGGACTATTTGTGAAGTTCACCAACGATCGATTAAGAGGAAATGAAGACAAAACCCTTTAAGTAAAATACGGTTCAAAAAAGATCCCCACTAAATAAAGACTATTGACAAAGTACCTAAGCATGTTTTCAAGGTCACCTACCTTACTAACTCAATTGCGGGTACCAAAAGGGTTCTGGGGCAGGGAAATAAAAGCTTCAGATGCATGAAATGACACCAAGTTAACCAACCAAAGGCTGACAGTAGCCAGAATGGCTCCTGCCCTTCCCCCCAGCGCTCCATCTGTATACTTTGTACATGTAACTGAACGAGCTAGCATCTAATAGCAGTGCACTTATTTAGGCTCCCATTCTGAGCAACAAAGAATGACCTTCAGATGTGGTTCATTGTCATGAAGATTTAATGACCAGTGGTTTCAAGTCTCACTTTTTCCTTTATGATGGTTTATACCTCCAGATACCGAACAAGATGAGCAGTTACACAGGGACACACAGCAGACACAGACCCGTCTTTTCTCATTTGGTGAATAATATACAAAACATGGGTGATACCAAAGTGTTTATTGTAAATGTAGTGACAAATACATTGAGAATAATTGGCATTAAAAAGGAACTAGAAAATTACATGTTTAAAGTATGTGCTTTTCCCCTGCTACTTTGAAGTAATGGCAAGTACCAACATTTTAAGTAATGAAATACTTAATAGGATGGTCCATTGTCACATAATTTCTTGAGTGTATCTTCATCTTAATTTTTAAAGCAGTTCACCATGGATTTCAGTTTCAATTATTCTCTGTTTTTATTAATTCTGTAATGATCTGCAGAATCTTGTCATCTGAGAAGAAAAATAACTCATGAGTAAATTCAATACTATTTTTCCAGTGTATGCTCATATGACAGAGGTTTATTTCATTAAAAGATCTTAATTTATATTACCAAATAGCAACAATATTTACTACTAGAGATGCCTACAAAATATGTGTTGCCCAAAAATACTTTAATTATTGCTATAGTTATACTACACATACTTTGAAAAAGAGTAATTATTTTCAAAAGGGTTGCATTTGAGTCTGTATAGCCCTAGCTTTTAAGAGACAATGTGATATAAATCCTAACTTCTTTTTTTTTAAAGATTTATTTTATTTTTATTACAAAGTCAGATATTCGGAGAGGAGGAGAGACAGAGAGGGAAGATCTTCCGTCTGATGACTCACTCCCCAAGTGAGCGCAACGGCCAGTGCTGCGCCAATCCAAAGCCAGGAACCAGGAACCTCTTCCAGGTCTCCCACACGGGTGCAGGGTCCCAAGCCACTGGGCCGTGCTCTACTGCTTTCCCAGGCCACAAGCAGGGAGCTGGATGGGAAGTGGTGCCGGGATTAGAATCGGCACCCATGTGGGATCCTGGCGCGTTCAAGGCGAGGACTTTAGCCGCTAGGCCACGCCACCGGGCCCTATCCTAACTTCTTTATAAGGAATATTTCTTTTAAGATCTCTGTAGGACAATAAATTTTTCAGCTTTTTGTCAAGGCTAAACATACACATCTCTACTAACTCTACCCTGCTCTTCAGAGTGTAACAGCATTTCCATAGCCATGGGAAATGAAGAAAAAGCTGTTACCAGTTTCTGCATATTCGGCCTAAAGGAAACAAAAAATTCTAACAGGGAAGTGTTCTGGGGGAGGTGTCAATGGGGAAATGACATACCTCACTCCATAACAAAGCAGTTGAATATCAACGGCTCTGACAAACACTGCAACACAGGCTGCACTGTTTACCAAGGGGGCTTTTGTCAACAGCTACTTCGACTTCCATCTGAACAGCTGCTCTGAAATGATGACTTCCTAGCCAGGCCATCATCATTTTCTAGGAAGACATAATCACCAGGTCTGTCCACACTGAAATGCTACATGTCTATCAGATACGTCAGTGGAACGCTAAATGGTAACACTAGGAATTTGGAGAACTGGGCCCATGGCTTGACACTCAGACACTTGAGGGCCATAGCTGGCAGTGATGCTTGGCAGGGTGTAGGTCACTTCACAAGGTTCTCAATGTCAGGTCTAGGAAGAACCTTGGCTTTTAATCTGAGGAAGAGTAGAGAGTGAAAAAAGCACAGGAACAACTTCAACTGCTTCCTTACGCAGGCCTGACGTTCTATTACAACTTTTCTTTATAAGAAGTCCCGAAAAAAACGAAGACTACTCTGTACTCTGTCCTCCCTCTCAGATCCACAGTGTGTATGTTACATCTGAGAATAAGCTCTGGTTGCTCCTATGGCAAAGGGGAACAGTGAAATAATTTTAAAATTTATTTTGCTGAATTTAGAAGTTGAGATTCACTGTCTAAATTTATGTGATGATTTCTAAGGCTGAAGTTGTACGGCTCAAAGCCCATCAAGAGGAGAGCCCACGTCCCTCACCTACTCTGTTGAGACCTGCTCTAAGGAAGGCTTTAGTGCTGACGCGTTCACATCCAGTTAACCACAGCCTGTGCGGCCGCGGACAGCAGCACTGGCTCAGCAGCTCCCGGCCGGCTTCTCCACGAGGACTAACGGGAGAGGGAGACTGCAAGGTGGCACGGTGTGCTGAGCCAAAAGAAAAAAGGCATGATTTCTAAAATCTCTCATTCTCTTGCAAAGTTTTTCCCTGCATTATCACATGCTATGTGTACCCACATATATTTACACACACACACATACACACACACACACACTCATGAACTACCTTCTACTTACATTATAGTCAAATACTTACTTTCAAGGGACATCTTTGGATTTTCAAGCTTTTTTCTTAAAACTGAATCAATGAGCACCCTCAGTTGCTTGAAAATAACGGCTATCTTTACAGGGGCCTATTGAGAGACAAGTTGGACAAAGCTCAGGGGAGTGTGCTTAAATAAACCAAGATATACACACATGCATCTTTTACTCTATATTAGCATATCTTGGTTTTTTAAAAATTATTTATTTTTATTGGAAAGTCAGATAGATAGAGAGGAAGATCTTCTGTCCATTGATTTACTCCCCAAGTGGCTGCAACAGCCAGAGCTGTGCTGATCTGAAGCCAGGAGCCAGGAACTTCCCCCAGGTCTCCCACCTGGTTGCAGGGTGCCACGACTTTGGGCTCTCCTCGACTGCTTTCCCAGGCCACAAGCAGGGAGCTGGACGGGAAGCAGGGCCGCTGGGACACGAAACGGCATCCATATGGAGTCCCGGCACGTGTAAGACAAGGACTGTAGCTACTAGGCTACCGTGCTGGGCCCAGCATAACTTAATTTTAATGAGGCATATAAAAACAACTATTTTTGATAATTTCATTATTTATCTTGCTATTTCCAAAACTACAAAACAATTGTTCTAATAATTATTTTTTTCTCTTAATATTAACTCTGTGAGAGTTAAGACTGCAGTTTCGGGGAAGGAGCCTTTTAAAAAAAAGTTCCCTGAGGTGTAATTTACAACCATGAAAATTTTATTTAATTGAAAAAAATTTTAATAAATTTATGGAACCATCACCACAATGCAGCTACAAAACATTTCTTCCACAAAAGCTTCTTCACAAAAATTGAACAGATTTCTGATACTGTTAAAAACTCACATTTTTAGTCATAGACAAATAGTTACCATGGTAAGGAATAACAGTGTGTTAGGTTTACTTAGGATGATCAACTTCTCCCCACAGGGAAACAGACTTATTGCCAGAGATAAGCACACTAGTTAGTGACAGCAAAATTTCCAAGGCCAACATAACTTCATTTTCAACTTTAACATATTTAAATAAAACTAGATAGGCATGACAAAATAAGGAAGTCTTCAACACAGTCTCAGGGGAAGAAATTATGCAAGGTCCAGGTATTCAAAATCTCTCCGTGGTTGTGGAGGCTGAACCCTTCCATGTAACCCACCAAAAGCAGCTGTAGTGTTTACCTGAAAATAGATCCAGCCATCCACAGACAGAAGGCGTTCCCGGTGTTGAACTTCTATATCGCCACCAAAGAGTAACACTGGGAAAGGAGTTATGAGGGTGGTCTCCCTCAGGTACACTCGGGCATATCTTACCTACGCAGGAGAAGAGGGGGGAAAAGTTCACGTTCGCCACCTGTGCACTTTTGCCACGAAAAGGCATTTAACTTTTAAGCCTGTGTTACATACTCTGGACACAAAGTATAAGGAATTTTATCATTAATTATGTTAATTAATAATGTTAACATTAAGTTTTGAAATTCTCTAGCCCAATGTTTAGCTAGAGCCATGAGTCAAAGGGGGACTCTTTCTATTGTAATTTATAAATATTTGCTAACTAACGTAGGTGCTATCTCCCACAATTCCATTGCCCCTTTGCTATGCGAAAAACACCGTTTTTCTCTTTTTGTGAAATACTCATTATTAACCATCTACTTGCCATAACTGTCTTTATTTCAAGCAGAAAAGATGATGTTCCTGGTTGGAAACCTTGCTATTCTTTGATTTAATTTAGGAGAAATAAGCATTTTGTTTGCTTAGGAAACTGTGCAACTTATTAAATATGAATAAAAATTAATGGCTCAGTTTGCAAGCTAAATACAATTCTTGCTTGGGCATCCTGTCTTGACAACTGGAATTTAAGAGACGAGCCCTTTACCTTCTCCTGGTATAAGAGCCACCCGTGAGTCTGCAAGTCTCGGTTTACTGACGATGGATGGACTTGTGCTTTGCCTTGGGCCGTCTCCACAATGCATGCGAGTTTTTCTGTAACGTCCACTGACTTTGTGTAGATTATCTTCCCCACGTTGTCATAAAGCCCAGCAGCCAGGACAGCTTTCAGAAGGGCCATTTCTTGGAAAGAGAGACTCTGTGAGGTTTTGTTTCCTTCCCAGTTGTTGCAAGTTGTAGAAGATGAAAATCCTGCTGCTTTGACCAACTTTATTAACTCCTGCTTCACATCCTTGATTGGTTTGTTAAAAAGAGACAGCCAAACTTGATTAAAACAGGAATTTCCAAATAACCTTTTAACTTTTTTTTTTTTTACAAAGTTTATGAACAACAATTTCATTTAATCTAAAATCATCATCTAAAACATTTTTTCTAGCTTCAGTCAAGCCAGTCAGTGAAATACTACAGAAGGATCAGTGTTTCTCAAAATACACAGGATGTAAGTAATTAAAAGGTGATGTTTACATTTAGGATATCCTTTAGGCTTTGAGTTTGGGGCCTAACAGACTTTGATTCCAGAAAGACCACACAAACAGCTGCTCTCACACCTCAGAACTGAGATCTGTGGGTGGGGGAAGGGAGAGGTGGTGGGGAAGAAAAGGCTGGCAGTAGGCATGGGGTGGGACGAAGGGCTAAGCCGAAGAAAACACCCTGTGCCACCTTCCTGGGATTCAAAATGGTGGAAATCCCAGTCAGCCCAGAGGGGGCGGTTTCTTCAGTGTAGCCCTTATCTGCTTGGGAAGGGAGATGTTTACTCAAGAGAGACCCCTCTGACATCCCAGCAGTTATTTTAAGTCAGAAAAAGTAGTGGGTCAGGCCAGGAGTGACAGTTCAACCGGCTAATCCTCCACCTCCAAGCACCAGGCTCCCATATGGGTGCAGTTTGCATCCTGGTTGCTCCACCTCCCATCCAGCTCCCCGCTTATGGTCTGAAAAAGCAGTGAAGAATGACCCAAAGCCTTGGGACCCTGTACTCATGCGGGAGACTTGGAAGAAGCTCCTGGCTCTAGGCTTCAGATTGGCTCAGCTCTGGTTGTTGTGGCTACTTGGGGAGTGAGCCGGCAGATGGAAGATTTCTGTCTCTCCTTCCCTCTGTAAATCTGCCTTTCCAATAAAAATAAATAAATCTTTTTAAAAAGTGGCTTCTCCAAGCTATAGGTTGCTTTGTACCTAGAAATATTTCTTCTTTATCAAGAAAGTTATTGCTTCAGACCCGTCCAGCTCTGGGAGATCTCTGTGTCCAACTGCTTATACATATATAAAGCAGAGGCATTCTTCCCAATGCACCTGTTCTAGTCACTCCTCTAGTCACTCCTTTCAGAGTGTATATAAAGAATTACCTCCAACGTTAACAGAGATGTTCTATTCAGAAAGTTCCTCCGGCAGTACGCCATCTCAGAACGGTAGCCTCCTTCCTGCTGTGCTTTCTTCCACCTAGAAAAACAGACATCAAGAACATAAACACAGTCCATCACATTTTCTTTCCAAACCAAAGTCAGGTTTAATTAAGTGACAACTTCAAAAGAGGAGGCGACTTGCTGGCTGTAGCAGCAGTTTTTTTGTTATATAAAACAATTTCAACAGCAATACAGGTACTTTTGTTTATGTGTAGAAATAAATTATTGTTATTTCAGATATGAGATAATATACACATAATAGCAAATATACTGGTTTTAAACTTGAAAAAAGGATTACAATCTGAATAGAGTTAGAATACCTAACATATCTTAAAAAATAGAAGAAAAAAGAAGTTAAGCTTGAATCTTAAATCTGTAGTTTAAGGAAAACAAACCTGAGACCACCGGCATGTTGATAACAGACTACCTCCTTACCCCAGATACGCATTGTAGATTGTCAGGTGGTCCGAATCCGCCACAGCCAGAGCAGACTTGGCCAGATCGGCTTCCTCTTTGCGACCAATTGGTGTGGTAAAGGGGGACTTCTCCGTCATGACTGCAGCAAGTGTTGCCTGTTGGTAGGTGAGCAAACAGTTTACCATTAATGTGGCACACGCAGAAAGCTGATTTATAAAAGAAAACAATAATCTGAAGTTGCCTGTTACTTTCAATACATTTATTATGTTTTATTATAGCTTTTTTTTTGGGTAAAGATTTATTTAATTTTATTATAAATTAGAATGAGAGACAAAGAGAAGTATCTTCCATCTGCTGGTTCACTTCCCAAGTGGCTGCAATGGCCGGAGTTAAGCCAATCCGAAGTCAGGAGCCAGGAACCTCTACCAGGTCTCCCACATGAGTGCAGGGTCCCGAGGCTTTGGGCCACCCTCTGCTGCTTTTCCGGGCCACAAGCAGGAAGCTGGATGGGAGGTGCAGCAGACAGATATGAACTGGCACCCATTTGGGATCCCAGTGCATTAGCCACTAGGCTATTGCGTCAGGACTTCCAACTTTTATTTTCATTTTTAAACAGCATTAGTTTATATATATTTTAAAAAGATTCATTTTTATTGGAAAGACAGATCTACAGAGAGAAAGCTAGAGAAAGATCTTCCATCTGCTGGTTCATTTCCCAAATGGCCACAACAGCCAGGACTTGGAACTCTTCCTGGTCTCCCACGTGGCTATGGGTTTCCAAGACTTTTGGTGATCTTCTACTGCTTTCCCAGGCTGTAAGGATGGGAAGTGGAGCAGCTGAGATGCCAGTGCCACAGGGTGGAGGATTAGCCTGTGGCACCACCACACTGGTCTCAAGCCCAAACATTAAAAAAAAAAAATTATTATTTAAAAAAATTATTTATTTTTATTGGAAAGGTGGATATACAGAGAGGAGGAGAGACAGAGAGGAAGATTTTCTGTCTGCTGGGGTGAGGACTTTAACCACTATGCTATTGCGCCGGGCCCCAAACATTTTTTCCTAAAAAGTATTGGAAACAATGGAAATTTAGCCATGTAGGAGTGAAGGTAACTGGGCTATGATGGGCTATGATTCTAGTATTACATCTAACTATATAATATTCTATAAATCTCTTACACTGATCTTGGGGTTTTTGTTTTTTTTTTTCTGACTCTGTTGCTAAAACCTCATTACCTCACAGACACGGAATAAAGTGCTGTGTTTTCTTGGAGGTGCGGGGCAGCGTTATGGCACCTGGATTAAGACGCTGCCTGCAATGACAGCATCCTATATAAGCTCCATTCTGACTCCCAACTGCTCTAATTCTGATTCAGCTCCCCAACAATGTGCCTTGGAAAAGAAGGCCCATATGTTCTAACCTCCACACTCAAGTGGGAGATCCAGGTTCTGAAATGTGACCATGTGGGGAACGAGCCAGCAGATGGAACACCTTCTTTCAAATAAAAATAAATAAGTCTTAAAAAGAATTAAAAGAAGAAAAAGTTTGGAACTATACAAAAATTCATTTGTTGTTCCTGCAGCTTTTCAGATAAACTACCATGACAGAGGTTACTTGTAGAATCTGGCATAATTCTAATGAGGCTCCATTTCTAACACTAAAGAAAGACAGTAGAATACTATGCCATTCTCTTTGCATTTTTTTTTTTTTTTTAAAGAATCCATCCAATTCCATTGGAAAGGCAGATTTACAGAGAGAAGAGACAGAAAGGTCTTCCGTCTGCTGGCTCACTCCCCAAGTGGCCACAGTGGCTAGAGTTGAGGCAATCCAAAGCCAAGAGCCAGGAGCTTCTTCCTGTTCTCCCACTTGGGTGCAGGGGCCCAAGGCTTTGGGCCACGCTCTGCTGCTCTCCCAGGCCATAAGCTGGGTGCTGGATGGGAAGTGGAACATTGGTATCCTATATAGGTGCCAATTTGTGTCCTGGCTGCTCCACTTCTGATGCAGCACCCCAAGTGGCCTGAGAATAGGAGAGGATGGCTCTACTGTTTGTGCTCCTGGTACTCACGTGGGAGACTCAGATGAAGCTCTTGGCTTCGGCCTGGCCCAGCCCTGGGCTGTTGCAGCCAACTGGAGAATGAACCAGTGGATGGATGCTTTCACATAAACAGACAAATAAATAAGTAAAACTTTCTTTAAGGAGTGAAAAATTATTTCCAATGTTACTAATTTCCCAGCTGCATAATACCTAAAATGAAGTAGCAGCAGCAGCATTTGACTTACCACTGGGTCAAGACAGCCAAATATGGCACCAAAAATAAGCATCTTGCCAATCTTGACATTCACAGGTAAAGCTGCAAGGTGTTGCCCTAATGGAGTTAGTTTAGGCTCATTTAGTTCACAAGCTCCAATTTTTCGTAGTAAATTCATTGCATTGCTGATTACTTGAAGCTGAGGAGGATCTAAGGCTTTGGAGAGGAAGTCTTCTGGAGAGCCAAGATTGCATTTCTGTAGATTGAAAAACAGTGATACAACTCGCATGTTATTACAAAGACTTAACACTATCCAAAGAGAATGGTGTGAGTTCAGTCACATTTCTTATAATTGGGAAAGTGCACTGTGTGTGTGTCTGTCTGGTAGGAGAATGAGATCTTCTGGTATACATTTTTATTTTCTTTTAAAGAGTCAAAAATTTTAAATGGAAGGATATTACAGATCTTTCACTCTAGAAGTTCCTTGGCATAGGTCAGGGTTTCTCAGTGCCAGGACTGGTGCCAGCCAGGAGTTGGGGCTGGGTAATTGTTACTTTACAGAGTTGTCCAGTGCACTGCCATCTGTTTGGCAGTATCTCCTCCAGCAACTCTACCAATTCAGTACCAGTAGTACCTACCATCTACCCAGTTTGGCAACTAAACTCTCCAATGTAAGCTACCTCCTGGTAGGCAACACTGCTCCTCGGGAAAACTACCTACCTAAGTTATAAAGATACATTTTAATACCTAAGTAGGAATGTTTATGGCAAAATCAAGGCAGAGTGGATTTACTTGTACAAAGATGAGGCAAGGTATGTATTAAAGTATGAGAAAGTTAAAGCAGCACAACTAAGTGTAAGTCTTCATTTTTCTTTTTCCTAGAAAGGAGGAAATAACTTCATTCCCATTCTCTTGAGATTACCATAATATGCAGACATAATTCCTCCAGAGGTACACGCAATATTTCAGGAACAGAATATTCCATAAAGCCTTCAAATCTAAAAAAATAAAACAACAGTATGTATTTTCAGGAATGCTGACAGTATGAATAAACACATTTTAAATATCCAGGCCTGTGCCATACCTTTCTCTTGTGTACATTCGGAAACAGAAGCCATCTCGGACCCTCCCAGCTCTCCCCTGGCGCTGCAGGGCACTGGCTTTGCTGACAAAGGTTTCAACCAAAGAACTCATCTGGCTGCTCTCATGGTACCTAAAGAAGTGTTAGTAGAGAATAAGTAAATCATTGACTTTTCTAAATCAGAGGCATTAGAAATATTTAACCCTTAAAATTAAGTTAGGGGCCAGAGTTGGTAAGGCCACTGCTGGCAGTGCTGGTATCCCATATGGGTGTCACTGCTGTCCTGGCTGCTCTACTTCTGATCCAGCTCCCTGCTAATAGCCTGGGAAAGCAGCAGATGAGGGCACAAGTGGCTGGGCCCCTGTCATGAAGGTGGCAGAACCTGATGAAGCTCAGGCTTAGGTGTGGCTCAGCTCTGGCCACTACAGCCACTTAGAGAGTGAATCAGAAGATGGAAGACCACTTTTTCTTTCCTTCTCTCTTTATAAGTGACTTTCAAATAAATATATCTTTTAAATAAATGAAGCTGAACAGAGGCTAAAAAAAGCTCATCACTGTGGATCAATAGTTCTCAAGTTTCCTACCTAAATAATTTATCAAACATTACATACTAAATCTCATACTACCAAATTAACAACTCTGGCACCAATTAAAACAAAAAAATTTACTTATATTTTCTTAAACTAATCTGACCAGGGAACCTCCTTTATGTTAATGGAATAGCTAATAATTACACAATTCTTCAAAAACAGTTTGAGAAGTGCCATCATGAATATTACAATTCAATATGCCTTTTGCAAGATACAGTTAAACCCTAACAGCATTCGCCCTAAAGATACAATGCAATTAAGAATTTCTTTATGGGGCCAGTACAGTGGCATAGCATATTCAGCCTCGGTGGTGTCAGCATCTTGGATGGCTGCCAGTTCAGGTTCTGTCTCCTCCACTTCTGACCCAGCTCTTTGCTGACGTTCTGGGAGGGCAGTGGAGGATGGCCCTTGGGCTCCAACTCCCACCTGGGAAACCCAGCGTGAGCTCTTGGCTCCTGGCTCTGGACAGGCCCAACTCTGGCCACTTGGGGGATGGACATTCTGTCTGTATGCCTTTTCTCTCTGTAATTCTGCCTTTCCGATAAAAATAAATAAATCTTTAAAAATTTCTATACTACTAATAAGAGCCTTTTTCAGGTACTGCTGAGAATGGGCTATACAGATAATAAACCAATACATTGCACTATCCCCCATTTATGCAACATAAACATTAAAATATTTATGAAGTAGTACTCTTGTTAAAGATTCAGCTAAGACTATACTTACTATGTTCCTGTGACTGCATCAGGCATTTTTAACTGGCAAATTTTCATTTCCTCATCATACACAGGAGGAAAGCGATGATTAGAGGTTACACTACTTGCTCAAGGCTACAGATCCGAAACTTAAATCCTACTGATTCCAAAATTCTTTGTGTCTATGTGAGTCCAAAAATAATGCTTTTGTTTATGAAAAATAATGTGAATAATTCTTTTACTAAAAATTATTGACAAATCTACAGAAATTCACATTCTGAAAAATTTCTTGGCAGTTTTCTCAAAGTAGCAGCACATTGGCACCAGTCACTTCAGAGTCCATGGCCTGAAATTCTGGCATTTATTCTTATGTTTCCTATAGTCTTTCTAAAGATTTTTGCTTTGGGCACACTGTAGAACATTTAGGATTTTCCCTAAAATGATTTTGATTTCTCCTATGAATTAAAAGAGTCACAAATTCTTTCCAGGTTAAAAATGTTTTGATTTAAGCAATTCAAACTTACTTATTTTCTTTTGTTCTTCCTGTATCAATTACAAATACAACATCTGGAATAGTGATACCCGTCTCTGCAATATTGGTTGCTAAAACAATCTGGAAATTAAAAAAAAAAAAAAAGCTAAAACATTTAGACATGTTTCCACAATATTATATGATGATTTAACTTCTTTTCATAGTTTGAGCCCATGAATTTTTAAAAGTGAATTCCAAGTTAAGTTACAAAATTTTATAATCTGTGCAATTTTAATTTGCTCTAATTAGTCTAATCAACTCCAAGGATTTTGTTTCCAACAAAAATACCATTCTGCTAATTCTCGTCAGTCACCTTAAAAATGACAGAAGTAGAATGGCAAACTGGGTCAGAGAATGGAAACAGCTCAGCACAACCCTTCATGATTATTTTTGGGAAAAAAAAAAAAAAAACCCAGCACATTACTGAGCAGAACTAGGTTGTACCTGGCCCCTTATGGCTTTTTGTGAATACAGACAGCGAATCTCTTTACCTCTTTGGCCTCGATTACCTCTAGTGTAAATTAAGTAGAAGATTTATAAAGTCTAACTCTAAAATTCTTAGCAGTGATGGCTGAATAATGCAATATGTATTGTTTTTCCTGTTGAACTCTTGGAAATAAAACATTCAGGAAATTCTAAGTCAAGTTTAATTAGTATTTATTGTTCTATTTCAAGTTTGTATTTCAATTTTGAATGGCTGCTTCACTTACTTATCCATGGAAAGGGGACCCATATACTAAAAGCCTGATGGGAGCTATGGTGACATTCTATTTAATTAGGGTGCAAAGCTTTAAGAGGTAACTCTGGGGTGGACATTGGGTCAGCAGTTAAGATGCTGCTTGTGATGACCCTATCACAGTGTCTGGGTTCAAGTTCCAGTTTTGCTTTCAATTTCCAGCTTTCTGCTAAGGAGTATCCTGAGAGCTAGCGGTGATGGCCCAAGCACTTGGCTCACTGCCACACGTGGCAGGAAGCCAGATTGGGTCCTGAGCTCTTGGCTTTATAGGCATTTGGACAGTAGAGCAGTTGATGGAAGATCTCTCTGCCTCTGTTTTTCTGTCTTTAAAAAGAGGTGGAACTCATCCTCAGAGAATATCTTAACAGTGAAGCTTAACTGTTACAGATCAGAGAATATTCTCCAGACCCCTGGAGTTTTCACAGCAGCTGGGAAACCATCAATTTGATCTAAACCCACTTAAAGATGAGGAAAATGAGGCTGAGCAGTTGCCAAAGGCTACAAAGATATACGTGGGACCTGAATTGAGGCCTCCCAAGACCCAGGCAGGTTCTTTCTAGGGGTTCTGCAATCCCCACAGGTTCTCCATTGTGCTCTGAACTTTAAGAAACTCTGGGTAGCATCTCTCTCACTGAGATCCTGAACAGAGGATACAAGGCGTATCCGGAGCTTCTTTCCTCATACCTGCTATGAGGAAAGTTCATATGGTCTATGAACTGTAAAAATAATCATGGTTGAACAATGTGAAAGGACCAAAAGAACCTCCTGGGACCTAAATAGCTCCTGACATGGAACTCTTTCTGATGCTTTCTTCACCAAGAAAGTAGTGCTTTTTCTTTTATCACACCCGTGCAACTACCACTAGAATATGATGTAGGTATTCAAATGCTGGGTCCAACTCTGATTATTTTCAACTGCAGAGCACATGCAGCGGGCCCTGCAGTATGATAACTTTTTTTGATGTTATAAAGTCACTATGTTTTCATGAAACAGTCTCAGGTAGAGCAAGTAGGCATCTGTTGTGCAGAATTTTACCTTCCTGACTCCTGCAGGAGGAAGTGTGAAGGCTGCAGCTTGATCTTGAGTTGAAAGAATAGAATGCAGAGCTATCACTCTATATCTGAAAGTTAAAATCATAGTTCTTAGCAAGAGTTTCTCTTTAGAAGACACTGCAAAGAATAACAAAATTTATTTGCATATAGGAAACAATTTAAAAAGTTTTAATTTTACATTTAAAAACATAAAAAGGTCCGATGAAAGCCCATACACATCCATCATAGAGGAAGGAGTTAATATTAATAATTGTAAGTTGAGTATCCCTTTTTTGAAATAGCTGGGACCAGAGTATTTCAGAATTCAGGATATTTGCATATATACAGTGAGAAGATTTTGGGATGAAACCCAGGTCGAAATATGAAATTTGTTTGTGTTTCATATGAACCTTATATACATGACTGAAAGTCATTTCATACAGTATTTTAGTGTACCTGTACACTGACTGTGACCTATCACATGAGGGAAGGTGGGGAATTTCCCACTTGTAGTTTTATGCTGGCATTTAAAAGGTTTTGGATTTTGGGTTTTTTTAAATTAAAGAGACTCAACCTGCTTGTGAAAAATAGGAATTACAGAACTTTTAAAATTCTGATATTAATATGATAACCATCATGACAGCAATAAATTATACTGGAACAGATACCAATAGCTGATTCAGAATGGATGGATGATAAACTGCAACCTTGGAGTTTTGAACAATTCAGTGGGTTGCTTCTGGGGATTTAGCATCTTACTCTTAATATCCTTAGTCGTGTTAATAAAGTCAGATACAATGCCTAACAATTTTTTTGCTATGTAAAATGCTGCAATATTTAAAAAGTGTTCTTCACCATAAATAATTTTAACTTAAATTCAAAGACTTGAAAACTCTGATCAAGAGTTTTAATCTACTATCTCTGTATCACACAATTGCCATGAATACAATGAAGAGTTACAGTTACCGTTCAGAATAAAATCTTCTGTCATTTGACAGGAGGTCATACAATTGCTGAATATGAGCAAGCCCAGGTAAAAAAATCAATACTGCTCCTTCAATATTTCTGAATTGGGGACTTCTGTCTGAAATTAAGAAAAATAACGTATCAAGATATTTCCAGTTAGTGTGAATGTTTTACCCACATCAATGACACACTAGAAAGAGAAATATACCTAAATATACGAGAAGTTCCAAAATGAGATCCAGGTTGATTTTATACGGATTCATGTAGAGAATGGCATGCTGAGTGCGGTTACTGTACTTATGGTAAAATGGATTTAAATCAGCACTTATTCCAGTCTGAACTGGGATGTATTCCTAAAAACAAACAAAAAATACAACCATAGCTGAACAACAATATTAAGGACATTCATAAGACAAGGGAAAAAGGAGGCATTTATAATCACTCAAATCCATACTTTTATCTTTGACACTGTAACTATTCTGTTAAATAGGAGTCAAAAGTATAAAATTACACATCTTTTCTATAATTAATTTTATCCAGCCCTGACATAGAGCAAAATATCTTTATCTTGGCATGTGTACACTAAAAGAACTGTAGAAAAACCTTCTAACAGTGTATGTATTTATTCACTAGTGACTATGAAGCAACCATGTCAATAGAGGCTAAGTTTTTTGGATCAAAAGTTCATTTCTACTTCATTCCTTCCGCATTCTATTTTGGCTACTGAGTTCCAATTATCTCTTTTGAAATAACTGAAGTAGTGTTTCTAAGGATGCAATTTCCATCTCTGGAATTTAAGGGAATTATTTTAGTTTTCTTGGCTTACCTGCTTAATAAAAGGGAAAGTAACTTAGATCTGTGTGCTTGCCTGAGGCAACTCCACTCTCCCGCCTAGGATAAATACTGCTAAACAGAGGTTACCAAGGAAAGCAATGTGCAGGTCCATTTTTGGGACCACTGCATCCTAATCAAGTATGGTGCGGCAACCAAATAAAGATCCTCACTATAGTCTGCTCCTCCATAACTCACCATTGCTATGAAACTTCCAAAGCACAGACCAGCATATAAAAGACAAATAAAAAATGACAGACTACAGGCTGTACAATAATTGTTATGACATGACTTTGAAAATTTGTTCACACACTTAATACGTTCTTTTACCAAATTACACTCAAATTTGGTATTTTAGCTGTTTGATTTACAAATTCTTACAGCAGCTTATGCTCTAGATATCAATATCATGTATCTTTCAAAATGTTTTCTTTTTACCTGATACTTTTTTATTCCACCTGCTTTGCTTGTAACATTAACAGTTATTTCTTCTTCCTCCTCTAGAAATTTCTGACAATATTCTGAGTCCTTTTCCAGTACAAAGCCCGTTTCTTCTATTATATCCTCAAGATGAAAAACCTGCACAGTGAGGCACATAAAGGTTGAACATAAAAAGGCTGTTGAGGGAATTATTATCTTTTGAATGTAATCAAATGTCAGTTTAGAACGTAATGGATTTTTTTTTTTCTTTTGGGAATGAAGAACTTTGTTGACATAATGAATCTGTCTATAAAAGTTTTAGAACAAGTTACTTTCTCAGGACACATAAGCAGGGAGTTGGATGGGAAGTAGAGCAACCAGGATATGAACTGGCATCTGTGTGGGATCCCAGCAGATGCAAGAATTTAGTCCCTAGGTTACTGTGCTGGGCCCACAAATTATATCATTAAGTAGAGTTTTTTTTTTAAGATTTATTTTTTTCATTTTTATTTGAGGTTTTTTTTTTTTTAGATAAGAGTGGCCAAAAGAGTGGCGTGCTCAGCAGAACTAAATAGGCAAGCCTTCAGAACAGAACAGGCCGAGAGGAAGCTTCTAAGCTTGAAATTGAGGTGTGGGTGAGAAAGCGATCACTTGCCTGAATGTGGATGTAATGATTTAGATGTGGAAGTCAAGTACCCTAGCAACAGTGCTAGGACCAGGCCAGGGCCTGTCACCTAGGGAGACTCCCTGGAGGGGATGCAGTTTATGTTTATACGTACATTACAAGCAATATTTACCTCAACAGGGTAACTTCTCCCTGAAATTCTCAAAATCGGGCAGTGTGTAAAATATGTAGAAAATTTTTCACTGTCCACAGTGGCACTCATTAGAATCAAGTGTAAATCAGACCGTTTTTGCAAAATTTCCTTCAGAATAATCAGTAGGAAGTCTGACTGGACACTTCTTTCATGAACCTGTTACAAAGAGAATAATTCACATATAAAGACCAATAAGAGACTAAACAGTCAGATACTCAAACCTGAAAATTAACATTTAGTATCATCATTGGTATTTTAGTCCACAGTTGTATGTTTTTTTTCAAGTTTTTTTTTTTTTTTTTTGGAAAGGCAGATATACAGAGAGGAGAGACAGAGAGGAAGATCTTCTATCCAATGATTCATTCCTCAAGTGAGCGCAACGGCCGATGCTATGCCAATCCGAAGCCAGGAGCCTCTTCCGGGTCTCCCACGTGGGTGCAGGGTCCCAAGGCTCTGGGCCATCCTCGACTGCTTTCCCAGGCCACATGCAGGGAGCTGGAAGGGATGCGGGGCTGCCGGGATAGAACCGGCGCCCATATGGGATCCCGGGCGTGCAAGGCAAGGACCTTAACCACTTGCGCCACCGCGCCGGGCCCCTCAGCTCTGGCTGTTGCAGCCATTTGCAGAGTGAACTAGTAGATGGAACACCTCTTTGTCTCTCCTCTCTGCAAATATGCCTCTCAAATAAAAATAAATAAATCCTAAAAAAAAAAAAATTCTGATATGAAAATTGGCACAATCGTGTGCTTTTAAATTTGACTTTAGAGGGAGCATATCTATCTATAAAGAAAATGACATACTGATGAAACTTTCTAGTCTTAAGGACTACAACAGACAGATAACACCATTGAGAGACAATACCTGGTAGAAATATAGACTGAGTCAAACTGGGTTTGAACCCCAAGCTTCAGAACATACTTTGCTATGTGAACCTGAACAAGCTGTTTGACCTCACTGTGTCTTAAGTTCCTCAATGATAAAGATAATAACTACTACATAGCGTTGCTGGAATGAGCTAATGAATCTCTATGTAAATATAAAAAAATATAAATACACAAAATCCTTTGAGGAACATTAAGCATATTGCAAATATACAATACTTATTCAGTAAATCAGTTAAAAAGAGATAACATCTATTAAAGGAAACTAAGTCATTATATGAAAAATATCTGGTGCTTAGTGAGTATGAAGCAAATCTTAGCAATGTTACAGATAATGGCCATTTAAAACAGATATGTTTAGCATTTAGCTGGACCGAATTCTAGAATCTACTCACTTCATCCACAATGACATGAGACACATTAGTTAGCAGACCGTCTTCTTGCAGTTTCCTTAGCAAAACTCCTGTTGTGCAGTAGAGTAACCTGGTCGACTCACTAGCTCGAGACTCCATCCGGATTTGATACCCGCACAAAGAATTCTGCAGGGAGAACACAAGGTCATGGTTAAACAGTCATGAGCATCTGGAAAGCAGACTTTCATCAGTGAATCCAGGTTCTGCTCTTGCTCCCATATGGAGTGACCTAAGTTTATTTGGTTTAAATGTTTTCCTATGTTTCTCAATTACATAAAATTACAAATTTTGTCATTTTAAGTGGAAAAACTTTTTTTCAATAAGACAAAAACTTGTTGGAGGTAAAGACACAAATGACTCAGATCAAAATACTGAGATCCTCAGGAACAGAGTATTTAAAAAGCTTTGTAATTTGGTTTACTTTTCTATTAAGAACTCATAAAGCTTGCCACTATTATCACACAGCTGGTATCAAGCCAGTGGTGCCCACTGGGAATTCTGGAAATCACATTTATTCCCTTGACAACTTTTTGTTCTTCAGTCATCTTGTTGTCTTATGCCAGTACATGTCTGCCATCTCCATATGGGGCAGAAACCAAGTACTTTTATCCTCTGAGGTTCTATGCCAGAAACCCAGATTACTCAATAAATTGAAGGGGTACCCAACTTAACATAAACATATTACTTTTGTAATATTACATCACCAGAACCATTCTAATTGTAAATATTTTGAATTAAATGAGCTTATAATTTATCATTTTTGGTTTAACCAGTTTAATTCATTCTTATATTATGCAGTGACTCCAGTTAAGGACTGGTCAGTTTTGTGATACCTGAGTGGCATATGCACGACAATAAATATTTAAGAACTTTTTCCATTTAGAAAAAAACAAGATTTGAAAGTAGTCTAACATTTCTATCTATGTTGCCTTTTTCCCCTGTTTTATTTATTTATTTATTTATTTATATTTGAAAAGTAGAGTTGCAGAGAAAGATCAGTCTTCTATCTGCTGATTTTACTCCCCAAATGGCCATAATGGCCAGATCTGGGCAGGTCTGAAGCCAGGAGCTAGAAGCTTCTTCCAGTTCTCCCATATGGGTGCAGGGGCCAAAGGACGTGCGCCATCTTCCACTGCTTTCCCAGGCATGTTAGCAGAGAGCTGGATCAGGAAGTGGAGCAGCTAGTACTCCAACCAGCGCCCATATGGATGCTGGCTCTGCAGGCAGAGGCTTAGATTGCTATAACATAGAGCCAGCCCCCTGCTCTTTGCAGATAAATGCAAAATCATTCATGGATACATTATGAGGAAAAGATGTGAGAAGCTCGAGATGATACTAACTAAATGTATTTGTCTATATTCTTTGAAGATTCTACTTATTATGTAATATATTTGAATATTCAATGATTAAAAGTTGATATTTCTCTCTCATATGAAGTCTCATGATAGAATCACTGATAATCCCTTTGCTATGAAGATAGGGGCACTGTAACACATTCACTAATGAAAACATAAAAAATGCTCTACATGTGCTCTCGAGCACCAGTTAACAGGCAAAATTAGGATACGGCCCAGGTGCCGTTTTGGTGCCAGGAGCCTAGGTGAGCAATGTTGCAATTCAGCGGAGAGGAGTTGAACGACAGCTTACCCTTCCTCCAGGTCCGTTTTCACAGCCCAACTCCTCACACACTCTGGTGGCCAAGCTCACTGCTGAGATTCTTCGGGGCTGGGTACAGACAATGTTACATTTACTTGTCCCCCACTCATGTAGGAGCAAATCTTCTAGCAGAAAATGGGGCACTTGAGTACTTTTACCACTTCCTGTTTCACCTGCCACAACTACTACTCGATGCCTTTTAAGAGTTTCAACAATGGAATCCCGGTGTTTGAAAACAGGTAACTGTTGTCTCTCCTTTAAGAGTCTTTGATATTTTGGTGTACTTTGCAACTTTCTAAAAAGGTTTCTGATAGGCTCTAAATCTTCTGCAACTGCTGAATCCAAGGACAGGGCAGAAAAATCCTCATCAGAGACTAAATTTTCCCAAGATTCCTCAGGATCTTCAGAGTTTTCTTTCTTATTTTCAGAATGCTGCTGTTGCAGTTGCTGCTGCTGTTTCAATTTATTCAGAAGTTTGGCGATAAAAAGATCACGTGGCTTATTGGTTTCCATTTTATTTAGTTCTTCTTTTTTCTTTTCTGCATCACTCCATTCCAGCCAAACATCTCGGTAAGTGGGAGGAAGCAACTGATGAACAGACTACAAAAGAACAGCAGTTCATTACCTTTATTAACTATTGGAACTGACATACCAATAGTAGTTCACAGGGATAGCTACAGTCCTCTTAAAATGTAATTAAACGTTCAAATTCATAAATTATTACTCCATATTTTTAATGTTCATTCATTTTCATGCACTTGAAAAGCTGAGAGATTGGCAAGGGAGCAAGAAGTGGGGGCCAGGGGTGCTGGGATTGCTGAAACCAGAAGCCCAGACTCCTTCCAGGTCTTCTATGTGAGTGGCAGTGGTCCAAGAACTTCACCCATCAGCCACTATCTCCCAGAATACTTTTGCAGGATGCTGGATTGAAGTGGAGCAAACCAGCACTCCAATAAAGGATGCAGGTGTCCCAAGTGGCAGTTCAATCCACCACACCAAAATCCTCACACAGTTATTAATGCAACACAAGATGTAAGTGTATACAATGCAAATTCATAAACAGAACATCACATTCAGCACTGTAACTGACCAGCTGTGCACAAGACTATAGCACTATGCTTTAGCTTCTCCTCTTAAAAATGTGGCTAACAATAGTATCTCCCTTACTGACATACACAGGTTAACTAAGCTAATACCTGTCAAGTGTTCATTCCTTGAAAGTTGTAAACTGCTAAACAAATGTTTGTCATTTACTTCTGTAGTGATACTAAATAAAATGTACTCAGATGGTAGAGCATTTCTACAAGCAACAAAGATCCTTTAATATTCTAGCAGTTATACAATATTATAGGCCAAAGTATTTTAAATGAGCTATACAGCATGGAATCTCTCTTAACATGCTGCTATAAGAGAATCAATGATTCCTCTGGCATTGATAGCTACTTTTATCAAATAAACACAATTCCGTTACCGTAATTTGCAAAATGGGGGGTGGGGAAAAGAGATTAGGAGATTTCACTGCCAGAAACTGGAAAGGAACTACTGTTTGCAGTTCTACTCAATTAGTGTGTGAATTTTTTGGTGATTAAAAAAATTCTTTATTGCAGAAAGAAAATGCTGATAACTGAAGAAAAAAATGTATTATATCCTTGAAAGAGGCTCCATCACTTTCTGGTGTGGCAGGCCAGCTCACTGCTTGCTTGGTAGGTCCATGGGGCATATGCAAGTGCCTAGGATTCGGCCTACACTGCTGCTTCTCTGTGAGGCAGATGAGCTCAAACACTGGAGGTCCTTTCATCCCTGTGGGAGACCCAGCCAGGACTGTGGTTTCTGGATGTGGTGGGGCCCATCTTTGGCTTTTTAGGCATCTGGACAGAGAACCAGTAGTGAGAAGATCTCCCCCTTTGTTGTCTTGTCATTCTTTCAAATTAATAATAATAATAAACATTTAAAAAACACTTAATTTGAAAACAGTTGCTATAACCAAAACTTGAAAAATGGAACCAATGTCATTTTTTAAAGTTGAAGGCAATCACACTAACAAAAACCAAATTTCTAAAATTATCCTTAATTGACCACCCTGGCACAACTATTTTTAATTTGTAAATTAATACAGTCCCCCAAATGGCATGAGCAAAACTGTTTCCTTCAAGTGTCTGGCTTAAGGATAAAGATGTTTAGGAGGGAAAGGAAGCCAAATAAAAATAATCAGAAATGGAGATTAATCAGAAGCAACAATTAGTAAGAGAATTGGCATAGAGGGCCATAATTAAAGACTACCTTCCACATGCTCATAATAATTTTATCTCAACAAAATAAGCCCTACTTTTCAAAGGAGTTTTGAACTGCCTGGGTCTACAAAGGCTCACCTGTCCTTTGACTAAACGATACAGGGCTAAGGTAGCGCCCAGATGCTGGGCTTGCATGCCGTCCTCCGTCAGAATGGTAGGGCACACGACCAGGACATCATCTTCAGACTTTATAACCCTTACTCTACAAAGAGGCAACAAAAATGTTTTTTCTTAATAAAATTGATGAAATCAAGTGAAAAGAAGTCAGAACTCCATTAACATTGTACTTAAGCTTGTACTAGGTACTTATATTTTCATGAAAGGACTATGTTAGACAGACGTACCATCTATTAGACAGACGTAGATTTACAAACATTGTGGACCTGAGATATGGAATCAGAGGGTTTCTTCAACGTGGACTGACTCATGGGAAACAAAATGATTTTCATCTTACATTTTTCTATAAGTTGATTCGGTTAACCAGAAAAACATACCTACATTTCCAGTATCGACCTACTGCAATTTTCTCAAAGGAAGGATTTGGACTCTTGGGGAGATTCTTCCTGACCCAGTCAATCAGGAATTGTTTGGGTGATTTTCCAGTCCAGCTTCGAGCAGTATAGTCAAAATTTCTGACATCATGAGGTTCTTTCTTTTTATCTAAAATGGCAAACACTGGTGCTTTTAAAATGTCATGCAACATATAAGTTTTCTTTTTTGTTGCTCAAAATTTTCTTGCTTTTGGGAATAGCACTGTTAGAACAAAATGGGTAAAGAAAGGACAGATAGAAAAGCTTGCTTTTGTGTAAGTGATTTAAGCAAATCCTTTTAATGAACAGATCATGGAAAATTCTGAATATTTAAAAAACTGCCCTGAGGAGCTAATGAATTCTTATAAAATAGCTATGAAACTATAAAATGAAGCTAGGATACTCTGAATCACAATGTTTGGCAGGCTACCCTCCAGGTTGGGTCATCAAAAATGTTCCTAAGTCAGCAGCAGCGTTGTGTATTGCTACTACTGTCATCATCATCACTACCACCACTACCACTTCCAATGGCTTCCAAAATTTTGTTTTAAAGATTTATTTATTTTTATTACAAAGTCAGATATACAGAGAGGAAGATTTTCTGTCCTATGATTCATTCCCCAAGTGAGCACAACGGCCAGTGCTGAGCTAATCCAAAGCCAGGAGCCAGGAATTCCCACCAGGTCTTCCACGTGGGTGCAGGGTCCCAAGGCTGTGGGCTGTCCTCACTGCTTTCCCAGGCCTCAAGCAGGGAGCTGGATGGGAAGTGGAGCTGCCGGGATTAGAACCGGCGCCCATATGGGATCCCAGCACATTCAAGGCTAGGACTTTAGCTGCTGAGCTACTGTGCCAGGCCCCCAAATCCTTTATTGTTGCCTAAAAGCTCTTTTTGGTTCATCTCTATTAGTTATCATTTAACGTCTTGGTCAACACTGTATAAGCACATTAGTTGCCAGTCAATTTCTCAAATGCTCTAAGTATGCCTGACCCATTACACCAAAAAGAGCTATAAATGGCTTGGTCAGTGTAAATTAAACTTTCTCAGTACTCTAGTCACATTTAAAATTAAAGTTTCTCAGTACACTAGTCACATTTCAAGTGCTCAAAACTGGTATTTGGTTAGTAACTAACACAATGCACAACATGTCCATCGTAGAGTTTGTGGAATACTGCTGCTGAGTTGGCTTCTTATCTTACTGCTTCTCTGCTTGAAAGGTTCTTTCTAACAACTCCTGAGGCTGACATGCAAACACATGTCAGATCTCATCAGCAAGTCAAAGTCAAACTGAGCTGCCTCTCTATTATTACGAGCCAATTTTCTTTGATAGTAAACACTGCAATTTTAATTGTATACTGTGTACACTTAAAGCTTACCTTCACTTAGACGGTACACTTGAAGAAGGCAGCAAACTCAAGTTATTTTGTTCATTATGTGTATACATAGCATCTGCCATTTTGCACAGTAAAGGATTCAATAAGTACTATAGAAAAAATGAATAATTTAAAAAGCTGGAAGTTTGGTGTGAGACTCAACTTTATTATAAGTGTTGTGCCAGGTGTATCAACAGATCCCACAGGAGCACACGGAAATATAGCACGACTCAGGTCTGGTGGCATAGGATGAGTTAGAGAAGGCTGGAAGAGGATGTGCTGTTCGAGTTTGGAGCTAGAGACAGGTTGGCCAAACAGAAGACAGCAGGATGAGCAAAGTAATGAACTCTGAAGCAGGTGCATCACAGAACGATAAGACTAGAATAAAAAGCTGGGGAAGTAGATTATGACAGAAGACAAAGTATCTTGAATACCATGCTATCGGGTTTGGATCTGTTGTCTGCTAATCTCCACAGGCTCAGAGTCATTAATGATTTTAAATAGGAAACTCAAACACAGATCTGTGTTAGAGAGAATTTCAGCACGTGTTTTTAGCATGGAATAAAGGGGGACGAGACTGAGGGCAGCAGGTGTTTTCAATTACAAATTGGTACACGGATTATGTCCAGGCAGCTTGTAGAAGCGTAACCTCACTGCCCTCTTATGTAGTTTGTGAGAATAAACAGTAATGAATTTTAAGAGGCTGTATTAACATTTTGTTACTTATATATATTACACCCTGACTTTTCAATTTTACCTTTTTCTTCTTCAGTAGCAGCTGCAGATTTTTCAAATAAATTAAAGTTCAAAGAACTCTCTCCTTCTGTGGCCACAGGAGGCTTTTTCCTTTCATTTTGTTGATGTGAAATCTTGATGGCTGGATTGAATACTGGATGGTCTTCTAAAGTCTCCATTTCTATCAAGAAAAGATGTTTTTCTTTTGAGAATTTGTTTTGATTTCTTTGAGAGTGGGGGGAGGAGGGAGACAGATCGTTCCTATGTGCTGGGTGACTCCCCACATGCCCACACAGCTGGGGCTGGATGAGGCTGGATGGGGCTGGGCTGGATCAAGGCAGGTATGGGAACAACAAGCCAGGAGCCCAGCCCACTTAAACCTTCACTTGGCATCCCTGGGCCTGCATCTGCAGATGGTGAAAACTGGAGGCTGGAGTGAGGAGCCCAATCCAGGCACTTCCATAAGGATGCAAGCATTTTCATCAACATCTGAATTACCAGACTAAGTGCCTCTAATAAAAAAAGGATGTTTAGTTTCATATGACTGGCTTTAAGTGCTTTTTATTTTGAAAAAATTGATTCTAGATATAGTTTAGTATTCCTTTTACTAATCCTACTAAGAATTTTTGCTGCAAGTCAAAGGCAATTCACAGCATGTACTAAAATGTCTAAAACAGTTAATACATTTACTAGGCCTGGAAAAGCATCTTTACCGGAAATATGCACGCATGGGATTACGTTCACCTGTCTCAAACAAAGAGGGTGTTTTATGATATAAAACAAGGAGTATCAACCTGGGCTGCAGGTCAAGTTCTGTCTGTGTATGGCTTGCCAGCTAGAACAGCTCTTACATTTTCAAGTGGATAAAAAAATAAAAACGTGGTGACATATGTAATTATAGTACAGAATCTACAAATAAAGCCCTTCATTTTTACATTATCAATCGCTGCTTTTATGCAGTAACAGCAATGCTGAACAGCAGTGGAAGAATGCAGTGGCCAAGTCCACAATATTTGCTACTTATCTACTTTGTTATAGTTAAGTCTGCCAAGCCCAGGTCTAAACTATTAGCAAAAAGCACACACATAAAAGCCTTCCATCCTAGGAAGGCTGACATAGGCAATTACATTTACAAACAGGCACATTTAAGTGGGTTTACCTCTTTGAAATCTCCTTATCTTTTCTTGAGCCTCTTTTTGGCCTTGCTTGTTTTTTTCTAGTTTAAAGGTAGCTGCTTGTTCCTTTGCATCCAGAAGTTTGGCTGCAAGGTGTAAGTATCTTTCATTCTGTTTCAAATAAAAGAGGAATAAGACTAGTTTACCCATGGTCAACAAACCTTATCAAAATTCATGATTTTTTACCGTTAGTGATTTCTCATAGGAAACAAAGCAAATGCAGACTGTCAGGAACATAAATGTTGGCTGAGGTGCTGATGGTAAAAGAAAATGGGAAGTCATCTCTAGCACATGTCTACAGAGAATACTAATCACTAGAAAAAAAACATGAGGCAGCTGAAGTATGATTTACATGCAGAACTGTCTTGACACATGAGATAAAACAAAATAAACTTCAGAATAAAAAGTAAGTCTGAAGGAGTGGTATAGGATGCAGCAAGTTAAGCACTGTTTGCAATGGGGGCATCCCAAATCAAAGTGCTTTGAGACCTGGCTGCTCCACTTCCAAACAGACTTCCTGCTACTGAGCCTCGGATGGCAGTGGAAAGTGGCCTAAGAGTACTTAGGTCCCTGCTACCCACGTGGGGAACAGAGATGGAGTTCTGGGCTCCAGGCTGCGGTCGAGCCTCGATCTGACTGCTGTGGCCATTTGGGCAATGAGCAAAGAGACAGAGGATCTCCATCTTTTCTCTGCCCTTCAAATAAATAAAAAAACTCTTTAGGAAGAAAAAAACGAATCCACTTCTATAAAAACTGTTCGATAAATACGTGTATTTCAAGCACTGTATATGCAAAAATACTCATCTGAAAGCTACCACCTTCCCATAATCCATATCTTATGGATAGGACATCTGAGAGATATGGAGGTTCCAGAAATGAAGGACATAACTGAACTGAACGGAACCCAGGAAGAGTTCCTTGTGCTTGTCTTGGGTTAGTTAATGGCATCAGAGTAGAAGCATAAAGACATGGGGTAGAGAAGATGACAGCATAAGTGGCACTGCTCTGCGGTCCAGCACATGGCTCAATTGGCTAAATCCTTCCCTTGCAAGTGCTGAGATCCCATATGGGCACTTGTTCACGTCCCTGCTGCTCCACTTCCCATCCAACTCCCTGCTTGCAACCTGGGAGAGCAGTAGAGGATGGCTCAAAGTCTTGGGATGCCGCAGTTGTGTGGGAGACCCACAAGAAACTCCAGGTTCCTGGCTTTGGATCAGCTCAGCTCTGGGCATTGTGGCCAGCTGGAGAGTGAACCAGTAGGCGGAAGATCTTTCTGTCTCTCCTTTTCTCTGTGCATCTGTCTTTCTAATTAAAGAAAAAAAAAAAGTGGCACTGCTATGAAACGTAACTGTTAAAGGAAGGAAAAAGACAACTGAACAGGCATAGCTGGCTCAAATGTGGGACCACTATGTGTAGAAGTATACCTGAGAGAAGCTCTGCTATCTGCCAGTGTGCCCAGCTCGTCCTCATCCTGCCTGTCTCTTCTGTGTATGGCACTCAAACTGCCACCCCTCCACCTACGTTTCCTTTGCTGTCTTTTGACCGCATAGCCTAGTTTTCAGTATAACATTTACCATCCTAACCATTACTAAATGTACAATTCAAGGTATGAACAACTATCAACACCCTTATCTCTGAAACTGCATCTGGCAGATTCAAATTCTATACTCATAAAACAAACTGCTCACAAACCTCTCCCCCCAATGCCTCTGGCAACCATTATTATTATTTTTTTAATGAGTATTACTCAAAGAGTTTTAGCATACTTCTTATACATTTAAAGAGATATGATTATTATCTCTTTAAATATGGGAGAAATGTAACTAACATCTATGAAGTAGTTACTTTATGCCAAAATTTTAAATAGGTGTTATTTTGTGTAATCTTCATATGGACTCCTAGAGACGTTTCTCTGATTTACAAGCAAGGAAATCAGGGCTCAGAGAAGTTAAAGAAATATTTTGTTCAACAATATAAATTAGAAGTCTACTACAGATTCCTACTCACAGGGTCAAATTTTTCTTCCTCTTCTAAACTTGTAGAATTTTCACTCTTTTCTTCTTCTTTTTGTTGTTCAGCATAGCGCAAAATCCACTCTTTCATATTTACTTCCATATTCTTTTCTTCCTTTTTTGGCTAGAAAGAGAAGACAATTACTTGAAAAATGAAAGTTAGAAAAAGATATCATAGTCATCAACTGTCACTGCTTTTAAAATTTCTCCACACTCAAAAACAGCAAACACACAGGCCTTAAAATTATATTCATCATTCTTCGGAGAAGGATGAATGCATTGAACAACAGTAATTTAACAAGCTTAAACTTGCAGAATCCAAAGACGACATTAATATAAATGAGTAATAATGAAGAACTACTAAAAACTGTTATCCCCTAATGATTTTATGATGATACTTAAAGATATTTTATAATGCACAGCGTAACTCTAATATGCTAACAATTTACAACTCCCAAGTATTCATATCCTCCTGGAGTTCCATTTCAAGGCGTTTGGGCGTGGCTATGGGAATGTTTTCAACCAGCAGAACATGAGCAAGAGGGACAAAGCAGGAGTTGGTGAGATTTGTACACTGTGGCTTGTCATCTTCAAACACTTGTTTTAGGGAGCTAGAACACCCGGAGACCACCACACAGCTGGGGAAACCCTTGCTGGTCATGCAGCAGGCCCATGTGGAGAGGGCGAGAGGGAGGGATGGCTCCCTCTCTCCCAGGTCACAGTGGCGGCACTAGCTCCACTACAGATCGGACAGTGTGCATTCCAGCTTCAGCACATGCCTCCTGGAGTGGAAAAACAGGCCAGGTGGGCACAGAGCAGACTGTGGAGAAATGAAGAGAAGGCAACCGCAGGGTTTTTGCCCCCTCATTTTGGGGTAGCTTGTCAGGCAACAACAGGCAACTGCAACAGGGAGAGAAAAGCTTATCAAGCAGACTAGTCATTTTAAGAAGTGAAAATGTTCCACAAACTCAGCAGTTATAAACTGTTCTACGTGCTTCATTTTGATTTTATGTAACTTCCAGTGTTTCTAGTTTACCTTAACTTTAGTGTCTTCTTCCTGTTTTTTGATTTTAGGTTGTTGCGGTGGAGGAGAAACAGTGGCTTGTATCTGAGGAGACTGGAATTTTGGCCTACTTTTCGGTTGCTGCTCTTCAAATTCCTGACTGAATCCTTCAGGAAGTGCATCTTAAAATAAAATAAACTGTATTGAAAACACACATGTATATCATATGTAAGACACAAATATTTGTTAGGCATACACATACACCCTGCATACACTTACTGCACTTCATTTTTTTAAATCTCCTCAGAATCCTGCAATGCACCTGGTTCTGTCAATCTAGATGTGAACACACTCATCAGCTGATAGCTAGTCCGCTTCTGTTTTATAAGTCTCTAATGTTCTTTTCCCTTTTTCCATTTTCTTTTCCTTTATTTTTTTCACTTTTCCTTCATTTCCTCTCTTTTCTTCCCTCTTTCAGTATTCTTTTTTTTAAAGATTTATTTATTTTTATTGCAAAGTCAGATATACAGAAAGGAGGAGAGACAAAGAAGATCTTCTGTCCACTGATTCACTCCTTGAGAGACCAGAACAGCTGGAGCTGAGCTGATCCAAAGCCAGGGTGACCTGCGTGAGTGCAGGGGCCCAGAGCTTTGAGCTGTCCTTGACTGCTCTCCCAGGTCACAGGCATGGAGCTGGATGGGAAGTGGGGCTGCTGGGATTAAAACCGGGGCCCATATGGGATCCCAGCACATGCAAGGTGAGGACTTTAGCCCTAGGCTACTGCATCAGGCCCTCAATATTTCTTAAGATTTCAATTTATTTGAAAGGTGAGTCACAAAAAGAAACAGGGACAAACAGAAGTCCTTATCTGCTGTTTTACCCCCGCAAATGCAGTATTCCATGTTTCCCACGTATGTGCAGCAGTCCCAGCACTTGGACCATTTTCTGCTGCCTTCCCAGGCACATCAGAAGGGAGCTGGATTAGAAGTCGAGCAGTCTTGAACTGTTACTCCAGTGAGGTGTGATGGCATTTTAAGTGGAAGTGGAGTAGCCAGGCCTCAAACTGGCATCCATATGGCCTGGCTGCTCCACTTCCACTTAAAATGCTGGTACTGCTTATGGCAGCTTAATTTGCATTGTCACAGTGCTCGCCCTGTCTCTTAAATGCTCATAAAAAAGATCTTAACCCAATCTTTGGGGGTTATGGGATGTGGTAATATCCTTAATCAGTTATCAAAATAATTTGTGCTCCAGTTTTTTGCCGAAGATTATGGCTACAATCCTCTGTTTAATTATGTTATTTATTGAAGGACAGCCATAATTTCTGAATCAAAACTCAATAAATACACTCAAATGGATTACAGTGAGGAAAACTTTGAGAGTGTTAATTACATCGTAAAATGACTACCAAAACCTGCAATTTTTTCTTTCATACATCACAAACCCTAAGGAAAATATACTGAAAAGGGCAGAGTATTAACACCCACCTCCCCCAGTAAAAGGTGAAAAATCTTAACCATAAGTGAAAAGGTTAAAGGTTAAGATATATACTAAAAACTTCAGGACAGAATTGAATGTCAACCTTACCATCTGAAAGATTCAAACACAGCCAGTCCAGGGCAGAATGAAGATCGCCCCCGTGTAAGAGAGTGTTAGTCATGGCATCCTCAATGTCCTTAGTCTTAAAGGAAAATGCTTGTAAGGCCATGTATAAATCCTATGAGTAGAAAATGTAAAAAGAGTCAATTTGCTTGTCTTCTCTTATTACTAAATTTATTTTTCTCTCACTCATTTTAAACTGCAAATTTTAACACAATTTTAATTTCAAGAAATGTTTCAGCTGAAGAAAGCATGTGTATTGTTTTGAGAAACTGGGAAGACATGATACTTGCAACAAAAAGGAGCAGGAGAAATGATTTATATTCTCACTCCACAAAGATAATACTGTAGTGTGTACACCTCCATTGAGCCACCTATCTACGATTCTTCTAAAAACAAATTTCACTTAACATTGCAACATAAGCATCTTGTCAAGAAGAAACTCACAATTAATTAAGAAATTCACCACCGCTACTTAAGAGTTATACACTGGTTCACTAGGTAGATATATCATAATTTAGCATTTTCACTCAGCTAAACACATAGGATATTTTTTTCTTTTAAAACAATAGTGTTTCAATGAACACCTTTAAACTTAAAGCAACTCAATTACTTTGTTAAGCCCAATTTTTAGAGTTGTGTTCAAATTCAGACTCTGCTTACCCAAGGTTCTAAGCTATCACCTTTCTAAGACTGAATTCTTTCATTTGAAAAAACCCAAATATATCAATCTTGTAGCATTATTGGCAGAGAAAATGTAAACAAAATGTCCAGTACAGAATCTACCACATACCACAGGAGCTGTTCAAAAAGATGTAATTAGAGAAGCAATTTTGTTCCTGTTTCACTTATTTTAATGTATGCATTTATAAATGGCATAATTCCTTCTCCTATCTCCATCTAAATAACTTTCAGGAAAGTATTTTTATCTTACATATGAAGCTACCTTAAAATGAAAAAAAAACCGACCTGCTACAGCTAATGAACTTTAAAAAAGTTTGTAAAATACCTGCAATTTCTTGGCAGTTAGTCTTCCAGAAATCACTCCCTTGTCATTATTTTGCTTTTTATGTTCATTGATCACTCCAATAATTCTTTGCTCTAGTTTATTGTTAATTACCACCTGTTGAAACCCAAAAGATTATATTATCAGAAACAGAAACTAAATCACTAGCAAACCAGAAACAAATATAGTTTTCTATATTTCTGCCAACTAAGCCTAAAACTTTAGTCAAAATCAGATATACCCTTCATTTTTTGGGCTAGCATTAATTTGACTATATACTTATGAAAAACAAAGAGATATAGAAAATAATAAGATTACATATAAGAGAAAAAAATATTTACTTCTTTTTTTAAAAGAAGATTTATTTTTACTGCAGTCTGATACACAGAGAGGAGGAGAGACAGAGAGGAAGATCTTCCACCCGTTGACTCACTCCCCAAGTAGGCTGTAATGGCCGGAGCTGAGCAGATCTGAATGCAGGAGCCTGGAGCCCCCTCAGGGTCTCCCACATGGGTGGGTGCAGGGTCCCACAGCACTGGGTTATCCACACTGCTTTCCCAGGCCACAAGCAGGGAGCTGGATGTAAAGCAGGGTTGCTGGGATTAGAACCAGCGCCCATATGGGATCCTGGCACATGCAAGGTGAGGAGTTAATTCACTAGGCTATCGCACCAGGCCATTTTAATTCTTTATTATTTTAGATGCTATGTACATCGTTGATTAGGGTGGGAAGAATCTAGGGTTAAGGAGAACTAGGTGTGATCATTGCTTCCAAACTTAGAAGAAAAATTTTTGTAAACCATCTCTGAGGCTAATATCTCAAGAACTACCATTGGATTGCTTTAACAAAGCTAGATTCTGTGGTCTTATCCCCAAAACAAAAACACAGCCAATCAGAACCACTGAGGATGAAGTTCAGAAATCTGCCTTAAGGTAAACCAGCCCAAGCACAGTCTAGAAAAATAAACAAGCACTATAGAGTTTTATTTCCATTTTTTCTACTAGCCATTTTATCTTTCACTGTTCAAATTCTTTTTTTTTTTTTTAAAGATTCATTTGAAGGCCCAATGTGATAGCCTAGTGGCTACTAAGTCCTTACATTGCACATGCCAGCATTCCATTTGGCCGCTGGTTCATATCTTGGATGCTCCACTTTCCTTCCAGCTCCCTGCTCATGACCTGGGAAAGCAGTCAAGGTTGGCCCAAAGCCTTGGGATCCTGCACCTGCTTGGGAGACCCAGAAGAAGCTCCTGGCTTTGGATTGGCTCAGCTCCAGCTGTTGTGACTACTTCGGTAGTGAACCAGCGGATAGAAGATTTTTCTCTCTTTCCTCTCTGTAGATCTACCTTTCCAATAAAAATAAATAAATCTTTTAAAAAGAAAAGATTCATTTATTTGAAACAGTTGTAGAGAGAAGAAGAGGTAAAGAGAAAAAGAGAAAAAGAGATCTTTTTATCCACTGGTTCACTTTCTAGATAGTTGCGAATGCCAGCACTGGGCCAGCGGTTCTATCCAGTTCTCTCAAGTGGCTAGCAGGGTTCCAAATACTTTGGTCATCTTTTGCTGTGTTTCCAGACCACTAGTAGGGAGCTAGATTGGAAGCAGAGCAGCCTGGACAACAATCAGCACTCATATGGGATGGCAGCACTGGTTTTAACACCTACATAATGCCAGCCCCAACTCCTTCCAAATTTTCACCTAAGGCTGAACGATATCTTTCATTGCTTAACTAAACGCTTTTATGAACAAAGCATAAACATAGTTCAGGAATTCACTTTCACCCAGAAAACACATTAAGAAACAGATTATAAACAGATAGCAATTGTTTAAAAAGATACTTTTAAGTGCAAATAGACCTACCAAGAAAATCAACCTGGTACCTTATGATGGATTTTCTGCATTGCAGACTGTGAACATATGGGCAAAATTTTGAAATCATAAAATCATATAGGGTCTGGGAGAAAAGCAAGATGTCCCACAAAAAATTTAAGGGAACAGCGACAGACAGTAGGGTAGAAAGGTGTTCTATTCCACACTTGAAACCCGCGTGCACCACCCTGGGAAAGACGATTGGACCTTAAGCAGATCCTAACTGCAGGTTCCTCACACGTGCATTATTTACTTTCTAAAAATTAATTCATTTTTATGTAGTGCACATTAGCTCTTAAGAGTATGACTTATAAAAACATACAAGAATTTAAAAAATTGTAAATATTTATGGGTACATTTTTTAAAGGAAAATGATTTCTTGAGATCACCCAAAAGCTTGGATACTCACTTTCAAAATAGATTTATCCACATTTGCAGGACCACCAGAATCATTTGCAGAATTAAAACTATAAATTTTTGGGCCTGTATATAACAAACAAATAAGGCAACTTAGTGGATAGTATACACTGCATACTTTTAATCCCCCCCAAGCTCACTAAATATTACGTATTTTATTTCAGTCCTCCCCTCTTTGCCAAGTAACGCAGCCTAGTCATTAGCAATACCTCTTGTAATTTTTTCCAAAACATTTTATCAATTAGCATTCTCCTAAGTCAACCAGTATCTCATAAAATAGAAATGTATCTCTTTTAAGTTAAATCTATCTTCATCTTCTAATTTTAAATTGGATGCTTTTCTTCCTAGCACTTCAGCTGGGGCAAGTCTTGTGATAACAACAGAATGCTGATGTACACCCCTTCTCCGGGCAGGATGCTAAGCTTGACTGAGATTCAAGTCCAAGATTATGGCAGGAGTCCTGTAGGGCTGCCAAAATAAATGACTCTACACTTGACGGTTGAATAATCTTCATATACTTTTGAATACTTACGAACAGTATTTATAATACATAGTCTATCATTTACTTTCTCACAATTCTGGAAGCTCTAAGTTCCAAACCAGTAGGTTGAATTAGCTTAGGGAGGAGGGAGGAGCAAGGTGAGTTGTGGTGATGTTAAGTTTGATACGCTTCCAAAAATACGGCCAGGCAGTACAAGCAAATGCAGACACAGTCGACCTGAGCTTGGACATGCTGGTTCAGAAGTCGTCTACACAGGAAGAGACAGAAGTAATGGAAAAGGGGAACTCTCCTAAGGAGGGCTCAGGAGTAAACTGCAATATATAGAGTTGCCTTCTGGGCCTAGAGTGATGGCTCAGCGGTTAAACCCTCAGGCTGACAGCAGAAATTCCGTGTACTATCATAAGCCTACTAATTGGGCAAAGAACTGTGAGCCAGTGAAGATGTGCCTACTCTTTTGACCCATCTTCTTTGCCGTGGCTTCCAGTCTGTGAATTCCTCCAGAGCTTCTAAACTTGTTCACCGACTAGAGATGGGTGCACGAGGCGTGGACGACCTCTGCTGGACTGCTGCTACCAGGTTTGATAGAACTAACTCCGTTTTCCTCTCCCTGTCAGCTTGTCACCCGCAATTCTTTGCTCCTTCCCCAGGAAAACTTCGATGACTCAGGTCAACTTTCACCTCCTCCCCAGCACCACATATCATACACGCTATTTACACAGACACAGACGTCCCATAAACACCTGCAGAACGAATGTTCCAACAAGAACCTCGGCCGAGTGGCCTGCTGACTTGCAACAGGATCGGGTCACCTCTAAGGCTGAGTGACCAATCCTCAAGGCGAGCAAAAACAAAAACAAAACAAAACAAATCGCGGGTGCGGAAGACAGAGTGATTTTTTTTTTCTCACAGATGACGCCCACATTCAAGAAGGTCTAAGTTCTATTCCCGCAATCCCAAGGAACGATCTCCCCTCCCCACCCCAAAAAACGCATGGTGACACGACGTGCTTGCTGAAAATGACAGGAAGAGCAGGTGGGAAATGGGGGGGGGGGGTGCCACCCAGGAGGGAGAAGCAAGAGCCTCCTTAGGGGAGGATGACGGCGACAGCATGGAGATCCCGGGGCAGCCAGAGCCACGCCGTGGGGGACGCTGGAGAGAGCCAAGGCTACTCCACAGCGAGGGCCAGCCCCTGCTGGAAGCCTGCTTCCCGGGGACACAGCCAGGGGCCCGGGCGATCCATCCTCGTACCTTGCTTGACACGGGGCTCCCTGGCGCCGGTGACGGCGGCGGCGGCGGGAGGTGGTCTTGTCCCAGGCTTCTTGCCCTGGGCCTCCCCGGCGGCGGCGGCTTCTGCAGCCTTGGCTCTCGAAGCAGACACGGCGGCCCGGACGGCCGCGGCGCCGGGTGCCTTGTGTTTCTTGTTCTTGCCGCCCATGCTGCGGCGGGTGGCCGAGGATTCCTCACCGCCCCGGGATCACACGCTTCACGATCCCAGGCTTGTGCTCCACGAGCCTGCGTCCTCCATCCGGGGCTCTCCGGCCTTAGGCTACTGTAGCTCCACGGCCATTGGTCCGCCGCACCGAGGACCCCGCCCTCTTGCCCTTTCCCCTCCCGGTACCTGTAGGGTGAGGGCGGAGGGGAGCCGGGAACCCATGGTGGCTGGCTCTGCTCTTCCTGCCTAAGCCCCTAACTGTTTGCCCACTCGTATTCGGAAAGGGTGAGAAAGGGGCAGAAGAGAACGAATCTGGGGAGAACGCCCTTCGGCTGTGCGCCTCGGCTACTTTTTGTCTCCTGCGGGCCTCCGTGGCCCCTGTCCCGGCCGTGCGGCCGCGGGGCCTCGTGGGTAGGAGGGAGATTCGGACTCGCCGTGCCGGAAGATGGCGGACGCGTTCGGGGATGAGCTCTTCAGCGTCTTCGAGGACGACTCCACCGCGGCCGGATCCAAGAAAGACAAGGAGAAGGGGAAATGGAAGGCGCCGCCAGAGTCTACGGACAAGGCCGGGTAAGAAATCCGTCTACTTTTTTTTTTCTTAATTTTTTTTCTGTCGGTGACGAGGGCGAGAAAGTTGAGTGGGCTCGGCTGGTGAAGGGGTTGGGGAAGGAAGTCGGCGAGGGAGGGAGGATGTTGGGCTGGGGAGGCCGGCTCTCTGTGTCCGCCGGCGGCCGCGGCAGCTCCGGTCTCTGTCCTTCCGGGAAAGCTTTGCTGGCCGCGTGTCTCCGCCGCGGGGTCGCCAGGGCCGTCAGGGCCGGCTCGGTCGTCACACCGATAGCTGATGGAAATCCGTGGGGAGGTGCTTGGGACGAGCAGCGCGTGGGCTGCAGGGCAAAGGCCGGAGAGACCCCCTCACCGTGCAGTGCCCACTGATGCGACCGCAGCGAGAACTAAATGAGATGACACACGGAGAGTGCTTAGCGAGTATCGGAGTCGAGCTGTAATTTGAATTTGTAAATGACCAGACCGTGAACACGCACAGGCATTGATGATGCGTGTAACCACGGGAAGGCAAGTCGTGGAGCTTTATTTAGAGCAATTATTGGGTATCTAGACCAAATCAATGCTTCTTAAAAACACGAAAGGAGATTTGTCAAACTGTGTGCTTACGGAAGTAATAATACAAGACATTCGTAGATTCAGTATCAAGTTCCGTGGATTTCCACGTGTGTGTGTGTGTGTTTTTTTAAATCTGATGCTGCTGCTTATCTTACCCAGCCAAACTGGCAATCCGTTCGCGACTGACTATTGCATCTGCATCTGTAGTGAGAGTTGCCCGGTTATTTCAGGGGTGTGTTCTTGGTTAATTGGCTGACTTGACTCCAGGCAAAGCCCGTTATGATGTTTCGGTTGTTATTTTCGTCAAGCCTTTTATTCTAGCCCATCTTTCTTTACACCCTGGCTGGGGAAATGAGCTGCCCGATCATTTAGTCTGTAGAATCTCCCACTTTGTGGGTTTATCTTCTTAACCTGTCGTTGGCTTTGGTCTTTACACCTGCAGGAATCATGGCTGGATTGCAATGTGGTCCAGCTGTGTCAGAAGGGCCCGTGTATGATGCATGTCCCTCTGCCCTTGTCAACCCACAGTGTCTGGGTTTTGCCCTCTCGGTGGGGTTAAGTACCCTCAGCCTGGTCACTTGGGAACTTTGTGCATTCAGCCTTAGCACCTGTATTCATTGCTAGTAGTTACCAGGAGGTGATTTTCTATTTTTATCATTCCTGTCTTCTTTTATTGCCTGAAATCCACCTGTTAGAAAGGAACATTGCTTGGGGCTGGCACAGCCACTCAGCTGGCTGAATCTTCTGCCTTCAGGCTTCATGTTTCTCTGCTTTTCGAAATAGCAGGGAGCTGAATCTGAAGTGGAGCAGCTGGAGTTTGAATCAAGCCACCCGCATGGCATGCTGGCACCTCAGGTCGTGGCTTTACCAACTTACTGTGCCCCAGTGCCAGGTTCTCCCCAGAAGCTTTCAGAGTGGTTAACGGGTTGCATGGCAAAATGATGAAGGTTGTGATGAGCTGGCTTTGAGGTGGCAGGATAATCCTGGCTCCCCATGTAATCGCAGGGAAAAGGTAAACCAGAGATGGCATGGTACGAATGAGCCATGGTACGTGGGTGAGCTGTGTGTGCTGCAGGAGGCAAGCAGCTGGCCGCTGCCCCAAGGCCATCAGAAAGGAGCGCAGCTCTGCTAGCGCAGCCCCTTGGTTTCAGTGCAGACCTGGCTTACTCTTCACTCAAGCTGACCTGCAAATGCCAAGTTTTCAGCTGCCAGGTTGGTTGGTGGTAATTTGTTACAGCAGCAGTAGAAAGTTGATCCAGCCAGCCACTTGTGAGCATGTTCTATGGGTTTGTGCATGTGAAGAGTATGTTGAACTTGGACTTTTTGTCTATCTGATAGTAACTGAATTTTAGTTGGCGTCGATACACGCATCTCTTGAGAGAAGGAAGGTGTTGTTTCTTGTACTCAGGTGCAATTTGTTCTCGTCATTTGTGAATTCTTCACAGCTTTTTTCCATCTGTTAGAAAATAGTCCTTTCAGTTTCAGGAGCCTTTGATGCATTAGAGATATTATTTCTCTAAATCACAAGTATTTTTTGCTGTGTTGTTTTTTACTGTTCTAAAAAGTGTTACTGTCAAAGCTGTCGCCCTTGTTGCTTTTGGAATTTTTTCATGGTTAAGAATGTTTTTTCCATTCCTGTGTTATAAAGTCATTGACTCATCTTTTCTTCTGGTAACTTGTGGTTTTAATTTTACGCACATATCTTACCCATTTTAAAGGAGTACTTTGTATTGTGTTGAATAAGTAATCCAGATAGTCTGCAATTACTTTTAGGAGTATTTGAAACAAGCTAAAAATGAGCAGAATAACAATATGTTCCTTTGTGATATAGCAGAATTTAATGCATTGCAGATTGCTATCAGATTAACTTATGTACAGTTGTCAGAACAAACTATTTCTTAGTAGTATGTGCTTCATACAGAAATCAGTAACTAGGAAGATCATAGCACTTTTTACATTCACAAGCTATGAAACACACATACGCCGTTTTCTCTTTTTGCCCAGTGTTAGATTTGCCCCTGACCAAAATGTTAGATTCGCCGACCGCCAGGGAAAGAATAACTCAGCCGAATATATGAAAAGAATTTAGATGGCCTTATTTCAGGGGACCAAGGTCACGGCTTCCCTTCCCCATGCAGCAGACAGACACAGGAAGGAGTGAGCTGCAGAGGAAGAAGAGGCAGGGAAGGGGCTTTTTGAAGTTTCCGTGACATGGAAGCCGAAACAGGAGGGAGGGGGAAGGGCGGGTTGTCGCCATGGCCCTTATTAGTGGGGGGAATATGGTTCTGTGCCCCTCATTGGTCAATGGTGGTCTCACTGCCTGAGGGGCCCACCAGAATTCTGCCATCCATTCTGGGTTTGTTTGGAGGCAAACTCCACCCTTCTCTGGTTACCATGGTAGCCATCACCCAGGTGTAGCTGAAATACTTCTGCCACCATTCAGTTCTAGCTGTAGTAGAAGTTGTATATTAATTGGTGTGCATAACTTACTTACATATTATTTGAAAAGCCAAGTTAGACGAAGAGGGAGAGAGAGAGCATCCACTGGTTCATTCCCCACCAGCCGGAACTGGACTGGTCCAAAGCCAGGAGCCACGTGCTTCTAGGTCTCCTGTGTGGTTGCAGGGGTGCAAGCATTTGGGCTGTCTTTTGCTATTTTTCCCGCAGAGAGCTGAATCAGAAATGGAGCTGCTGGATCTCCTGCTCTCACCTCTGTAGGATGCCCGCGCTGCAGGTGGCGGCTTTGCCTGCAGCTCTACTGCTCTGGCTCTGACATAGGAACTGATACTGAGAATATAGGAACTGATAATTCATTGGAAGCTGTTTACTTTTCAGAAAACGTTTGGATAGCAAATTACAATCAGAATCTACTAATAATGGGAAAAACAAGAGAGAGGCTGATTTTGATGGCACAGATGAACCCATTTTTGGAAAGAAACACAAGGTAGAAGAGTCCGTAACTGAAGACTTAAGGTAATATTTCTTTTAAAACACCAAGTTTTAGAAGTTGCTTTATATTTGATATTTTGTGAAAGTATTTACTGGATTAGAGGAATGAAGGTAGAAAATTTTTAATGTAAGCACTCATAAAAGCATGTAAATGTAGATATTAGATTTGCAGAATTGATTGATAATATCGAGAAGACTTAATTTAGTTTTGAGAAACAATTCTTCAATCCGATTCTCTAAGAAGATAGGATTCTTTTTTTAATGTTCCAAGAAGAAAGTCCTTGAAAAGATGAATAAAAGGAAATAAGCAAGCTGACATGGGGGATGGAATGTGGAAAGGAGCACTGGAAGGGATTGTTGCTGCAGGGAATAGCTGTGGATTTCAAGAATTCCTGCTAAAGAGGCAGACCTTTGAACATCTCTGACCAAAATAGCTCTGATGTTGAAAGCTACAACTCTCTAGACGTTAATACCAGTATCTCTAGTTGACATCTTTCCTGTTACATTGAGTTTTGAGTTTTTGCCTCTCCTCTCTTGTTGCCATATTATAGTTTGGCACTTCCATGAAGAGTTTGTTATTTAAAAAAAAAAAAAAAAAGAACCCCAGTTAGCTATTGTTGCAGCTACTTGCTGTTGTAAGCCAGCCAGGATTATAGAATGGTATTATTGGCTGCTTAAATATCATTGTTGTTATAACCTTTGGGTTTTATCCAAAAGGTAAACATTTAAAGCAATAATTAAATAATAAAGAATCCGGCATGGAACTTCACTTATTTTTCTTCTGTTTATCCATATTTGTGTCCTTTCAGAATCTACTCAGAGAACTGTAACCTAGGATTTTGATGAGCATGAATAGTGCTTTTGTACCTTAGAGCAGCATCTGACTAGGCTAGTTTATTTTATACTTCCTATGGTCTGTTAGTTGGAGTTGATATCCTAACAGTGTTTGTAGGCATACTCTTTATTAAATTAGTTACTGGAGCTTAGCTGACATAATTTTTTAAATAATTCACATGGCAGT